CAGGCGCAGTGCTGGGAATTCTTCCTAAGGGAGGCCGTAACAAATGTTTGAGGGGCCAACCAACATAGGCAGCCAGAGTTTATAAAGCTCTGAAGCCAGGATTGGCAGCCAAAATGAAATCTTTAAGGAATGCTGAGTGGTAGCTGCTGCTTTCACCACCTGCCATCTCGCAAGCCAGCGCGTAGACAGTAGGAATAGGATGGGGGCCGTTTCTGCCCCTTACCAGCTTACAGGTGGTGTGGACTATGTGAATCTTGGTGTCCTTTTGGGGCCAGACCATGTCTGGGGCAGAGCTGGCCTTTCCCTCTGGGAATTGGCTGGCAGGTGGGAGGTGGCGATCAAGCATCTTTGCCCTGTGGTGGGTGATAACAGATAAAAGAACCGGCATGAGGCCAGAGGGCCAGCCTGGGACGGTGATGTCTATGCGGAGGCCCTTCCAGGTGGGGTCCTGGTCCAGCCATCAGTGTGGAGACAGGTGCATGCCCGGGGAAGGATGGGAGGAACCAGTGTTGTTCCTCTATTCCACACTCCAGGGTAGCCTAGCAGGTGGCCGTGGATGGCGGGTCCCTGCAGATGCTGGGGAGATGGAAAGCCATCTGCGGTCACACATCAGTGGGCGGGCTGATGTAGAGTCACAGTGCACATTCTGTGTTAAAGGTTTCTATTCTTCATGTAACATCTGGTACACAGAGAGACTAAAAGAGATGTCACTGAGCACACACGGGCCTTGGGATTTGGGCTTTTTGGGTTCTGTTCCAGCTGGGTGACCTCGGGTAGATTGCTTGCCCTCTCTTAGCCTGTCTCCACTTCTGTAAAAGAGCACGGTTGTTACCCAGTGGGGTTGTGTGCATCCCACGAGAGGACACTTGTAAATGCTTAGGCAGGGCCTGAGTGTGGTCGGAGGGCTGACTTGATGATTATTGCACCGTATTGCCATCTCCTCTATACCCTGAGAGAGTGGCTGTCTACCTTTTCCAGAGGAGGGGAGAGGAGAACTCCTATAGCCTGGGTTTTTCTCAGTTGCATGCCCCTGGCTGGGTCAGACCCCCATGTGCAGGGACTTCTGAGGTCCGGCTCTGAACTGGGGTAGAGCTGAGGTTGGAGAGCTGGCTGATGGAGGAATCGTGCGTGGCTTTCCGGACACCGTCGTTGCCAGAGAGAGGACCCTTAGCGAGCCCCAGGACAGGGGACTTCCCCCGTCAGGCAAGGGGACATGAAGTGCGCTGGGCACTGGCTTTCTTTGGGAGCATGTGGGGGATGGGAGGTAGGTCCGTCCCTACAGGATACTGCATAGTGATTCATCCCCATGGAGACAGGAGGACAGAATGTTCCTGTGGGTCCAAAGAGGACAAAGGCATGTGTTTGTGAGTGATTTCCTCCATCCAGTCTCAGGTATGGTCTTGGTTTTGGCTGGTGGAGAGAGAGCACCAGGGCTGGGGGGGGGAGGGGTTGGGTGTGTGTGTGTGCATGCAGATACGTGTGGGTATATGTGCACATCTGTGTGCACATGTGTGTGCATGCATATGCATGTATGCACCTGTACTTGTGTGTGTGTGGGGGTGTGTGCATGCATCTGAGAGGTAAAGGAATGGGGCTTGCACAAGAAAGGTCACACTTGCCTTTCCTCCTCCTCCTACCTGTGTGGGCTGGTGGGCACAGAAGTCAGTGGACGCCTTCTGGGGGTCCCTGCACCAGCGTGAGGACCCAGAAGCTCCGGTTCTGATCCTGCTTCTACCGCTACAAGCTGTGTGACCTTGGGGAGGTCTCCGCAGTTTCTTCATCTGTGAGATGAGGGTAGAGAGGCTTGCCTGGGGCCGCGGGGGTCGGGCGCCCTGCCTGACGCTTGGTGGGTGCTTAGCACGCCTTAATCCCTCACCTGAGCACCCCCAGCCCCGGGAGACAAGTGCCTGAGCACCTTTGCTGCATCGCTTCCACTTTCTCAGACTGGAGGCCTTATCCTTCCTAGTAAGGGGAGCCACAGCTAATGCTGCTCCTGGCTGCGCTGAAGTTCGGGCCAGGGGTGAGGCGCCGGGCCTCGGGCACCACGCCTGCCTGGTTCCTCCAGAGGCTGAAGCTCAGTGGGGCTCTTGCCATCCTGGGAGGTTTGACCCCACTCCTGGGAAATTTCACGCCCATCCTGGAATTTTCCGAGAGGGGCTGGCCAAGAATCTTATAACCAATTAAGGGACGGAGTAGAGCCTGAACCCAGAATAGTTGGTAGACTCCCTAGAGAGGTTGTGTGACTCTGATCATTTATTCTGAGGTCTTCATCCACCAGCTCAGGAGGACCTACTGTGAGCGCTGAGGCCTGGGGGTAGGAAAGTAAGTGACGCAGGAGCAGCCCCTTCCTTCGTGGACGCGTGTAGCCCTGGTTCCGTGGTTATATAATGTGAAGGCCTCCACAAAGATGAGTCAGCGTCTGTCACACATGCCCCGCCCCTGGGGGCTGCCAGGGACACCCTAGGTGCCAGCCAGGGCTGGGCATCCCGTAGAATCTGCCACCGAGGTGGTGCCCGGGCACCGTGTCGAAACACTCCGCTTCCCTGTACCCAGGATCCCCTTTCCTCCCGGCGCTGTGTTTCGGACCACAAGGTGGCCTCCTCTCCTGTCTTCCAGATAGTGACCCAGGGCTCGAGGGCATGGGGAAGGGCAGAGCTGGGATTTGGAGCCTGGTGACCCCAGGCTGGGGGGGCTGCTGCCTGGCCTATTTTTAGAGGGCGCCTTGTGGGTCAGCAGGCGAGACAATGGAGACTGTGGCCCTCTCAATGAGCTATTGTTCCCAGTTGGCTCCAAGGCCTGGGCTGGGCCCAGCAGATGACCGTGGCCCCCACTGGGGGGCCAGGCCATTGCTTCATCGTCTGTGGATTTTTCCAGTGTTTGTACAGGCAGCCGCAGAGTGCCGGGTGCGGAGGGGAAAAGAGATGGTGGGCTCCGTGTTGGGGAGGACGCCCTTTGTTGAGGTGATGAGGCAGGTGGCTTCGAAGGACCCTTGTGATGGGAGGTGGGCCTGGGGCTGATGGGGAGTGGGGGTCCCTTCCATGCTGTGGCCTGTTTGGGCGCATCCACATCACCTGGCAAGCACGCACACACCCTTGTGAGGTTCCACAGTTCTCCCCATTCCGCAGGTGTGATGGCAGCCTGGGACCCCCCTCCGGTAGCCAGCATCCCACCTGCTTGCTTCAGGGGTCTTCAGAGCGAGGGCTGGAAGCCCCTGCGTCGCTTTGCTTGGGATGGGGAGGGGAGCAACTTCTTGCTATAAACGTGCAAACACTGTGCTCCCCTGTTCTGGAGGCAGAGGCTGAGAATTGGGGTATATTTCTTTATTCGTGAGCCAAGTTTCTCAGATTGACGACCATTGACTTCAGAGGATGGGGTGCCTACCCTGGTCCCCCTTTCCCCCTGCCCCTGCTGCCCAGTGGGTGAAATCCTCTTTTCTTCTTTCTTTTCCTTTCCTTTCCTTTCCTTTCCTTTCCTTTCCTTTCCTTTCCTTTCCTTTCCTTTCCTTTCCTTTCCTTTCCTTTCCTTTCCTTTTTTCTTCTTTTCTCTTTTCTTTTCTTTTCTTTCTTTTTCTTTTCTCTTCTCCTTTCCTTTTCTTTTCTTTTCCTTTCCTTTCCTTTTCTTTTCTTTTTTCTTCTTTTCTTTTCTTTTCTTCCTTTCCTTTCCTTTCCTTTCCTTTCCTTTCCTTTCCTTTTTTTTAAAGATTTTATTTATTTTTTCATGAGACACACAGAGAGAGGTAGAGACATAGGCAGAGGGAGAAGCAGGCTCCCTATGGGGAGCCAGATGCAAGACTCGATCCCAAGACCCCAGGATCATGCCCGGAGCCGAAGGCAGATGCTCAACCGCTGAGGCTCCCAGGCATCCCTTAAATCCTCCTTCTTGCTGTTCCCAGAATCCCTACAGCATGTCTACGGCAAGCTCTTGGGGCCCACCCCACCACCCCACTGCTATCTTATGAGTTCTTACTTCCTCTTTTCTGTATATGCATATTGTAGGTGCTTAATAAATGTTTTTGGCTAAAGTTGAACTGACTTCAGTGGAGAAGGAGCTGTGGTGGGATTTGGTCCCCTGCCTGCTAGACAGTGTGCATGTGGCTGCATCACACTGCCTCAGGAGCGACCCTTCACAGGTCTGGGATGGAGGGGCTATAAGCACGGTCCCTCCTGCTGTGTCCTAGGGGCCTCCTGGCATCCCTGGAGCCCACGGGTCCTAGGTCTGTTGCCACTGTGCAAGTTGGGGGAAGGGACAGCTTGCCCAGGTCCACAAGGCTCCTGACTAGGGGTTCCGGCCTGTTTCTTCTTGCCCCTGAAGGGTAGACATCGACCTTCTCCCTCCTGCCATTAGTGAGTGACCAACAGGGTTCACATTTAGGCTGGCGTTTGGGAGCAGGTGTAGATTGGCATCTGGAGTGTTCCCTCCTTGGGAAATAAATGTCAAGTGCCAACCTAAGGTGGCCTCCTGCGGCCTGAACGTGGTTTGACTCTTGGAGCTTCTCGGAGTGTGAGGGAGTGAGAAGCATGCGGGGAACCCAAATTGGCTCTCTCGGTGGGTCCTGAGTGTGACTCTGGGCAGCTGGATTGGTTTCCCTGAGCCAGATTGTCACCGGCCACCAGCTCAGGGGTGCGCTGATGAGGATGTGGAGGCGCATCGTCCAAGAGGTGAAGGCTTTGATCACCTCAGTTTCCCGGATGGGAAAAACCAGGTCCTGTGCAGAGAGGGGCTGGGGCTGGTGCCTTCCCCAAGGTTAATGCAGTGGGTGGCACAGTCTGAGCCCAGGACTCTGTCCTCTGCCTCCCAACTGGCTTCCCCTTCCCTCCCTGGTCCGTGGAGTGGTTTCTTTGGCCAGAGAGATCTGCTGCCCAAAGGCCAGGGCTCTCCTGACCAAGTGAGGAACAGACTCGGAGCCTCCTTAAAACATAGCTGGAAACGCACTGTGCACCTGCAGTCAGTAGTCGTGGCCGCTCCCATCACAGGCCCCTCTGTCTCCTGTCTGTCCTCAGGAGCAGGACATCGAGACCGTGCATGGCTCCATCCACGTCACGCTGTGCGGGACCCCCAAGGGCAACCGGCCCGTCATCCTCACCTACCACGACATTGGCATGAACCGTAAGTTTCCGCAGGGGGTGGGGGTGGGAGAGGCCGCCGAGGAAGGGCTGGTGGGGGCCAGTCCAGCTGTTTCTCTTCCGCTGGCACTTCCTGGAGCTGTTGTGGGAAGAGCACTTGCCCCAGACTGGAATGCACTAGGCAGGGCACAGAGCTGTGTTTGTGCTGGGTGTGCTGGCTGTGCTGGGAGCGCCACTGTCTGTGTGTGACAGTGACATCTTTTGATTCGTCTGTACTGTTTTTTTTATTATTTTCACTGAGTTGTACAGCCATCATCACCATCCATATGAGAACAGCTTCCTCACTCTGTACCCTCATCTCCCTTACCCCCAGCTCAGCCCCCGGCAGCCTCTAGTCCACTTTCCATCTCTAAGGACATGCGTATCCCCGATGTTTTTTTTTATAAATGGAATCCTACCATCTGTGGTCTTTTGTGACTGGCTCCTTTCATCACAGCTTCAGAGTTGACGAGTAGGCTCTACTGTGTCCTCCCTTCTTGGTGGCTGACTGGTATTCCATTGAGCGCATCAGCCCCGGTCTGCTCATCTGTTCTTCAGTTGATGAACAACGTGTGGATGGTTCTTGCTATGTGGCCCTTGCTAACAGCACTGCCATGAAGGTTTACCCTGTGGTCTCGAGATTCCCGGGAGCGTCACCCTATGTGGGTTCCCCATTTTGCACAGATGGTGAAGGAGTAAGATCTGCTGATGGTAAAATCACAGACGACAGAAGGGGGTCTTCCCGTGGCGACTGTGACAGCCCTTGTGTCCAGTCACCTCCGCAAGCCGGACGATGGCTTGATTTGTGATTGGCAGCCTGCTGCCTTGCGTGTTTTTCCTCCAGCTCATGAGTGCCTTGAGGCAGGGATGTCAGCCACTGGAAACCATTTTCTCCTTTATCTTCCCTTCTCTTTTGTTCCTCTTCCTCGCCTGTGTGCTCCCCTTGTGTCCAGCAGGTACCAGCTCCCCATGCTAGCTACTTGGAAGTCTGTTACCTTTTTTTTTTTTTTTAAGATTTTATTTATTTATTTATTTATCCAAGAGAGACACAGAATGAGAGAGAGAGGCAGAGACACAGGCAGAGGGAGAAGCAGGCTCCATGCAGGGAGCCCAATGCGGGACTCGATCCTGGGACTTCAGGATCACGCCCTGGGCCAAACCCATTACCAGTTATTTTGGTGCTGCAGGTAGAATAGCATGAGATGAAAAATACCGAGTATTGGCTCGTCGGGTGACACTTGATGGAAAGGTGCAGTATCTTGTGGAATGGGAAGGAGCAACTGCGTCCTGACTGTAGGACTGAACATTATGTTCACTGCACTCTCATTTTCTGTAGGTACAGTTCAAAGCCCTAAAGGATAAAGGAGTCTGGCTTTTACAATCTTTCTTAAAAAAAAAAAAAAGTCAAAAAATTTCACAAAAGGAGATGATACTAACCTTAACATGTACCTGTCAATGTTATGGATATTGTCATAAAAAGATATCTTTTAAAAATCAGAACAGAGACTTAATTTTTTAAACATTTGTAGAATGTTTCTAGGATAGGATATTAAAAATGATTCAAATCCATGCATGGTGTTAGATAATTTTTCTAATTATTCCATTGAGTCAGTTTTTGTGATTAGTGGTTATCAGATCAAACAGATCATGTAGATAGATAGCACAAGTATTTGGAGAAACGTCTGTTTTGTTACCAAAATGTTGGAAAAAAATTATTTCAATACCTTTCAGATTTCATAAAGTGCAGTGTATATAATGCCTCCTAAAAGACTGTAAAATATTGAAATTTTCTTTCAAGCAAAGTGTAAAAAATATATTGAGCCTGTAAAAAAAAAAAAAAAAATGGTGCCAAACCGCTCAGCCACCCGGGACCCCCCTGTTACCTTATTTTAACAGACTCTGGTGAGGAAGGGAAATGCGTGTGGTGGTGTTACACGCCCCCGTTGCAGAGGCTCACTCTTCTAGAAAGCCAGGTCCAGAAACAAAAGATCCCAAGACCTCGGTGGCTGCACACAGTCTACATTTCTCTCACCCTCGTGTAACACGTCTGGGCGTCCTGTAGGAAATCTTGTGCATGGTGATGCCAAGACCCAGGCTCCTGCCAGCTGTGGCTCCTCCATCCCCGGGGCCCTCAGCGTCTTGGGCATCTGGCTTATGACAGCAGAGAGAGAAACCTAGAAGAGTGGGTGGCAGGTGTTAACAACAACCTGTGAGCTTCAGGTGCTGTTGGCCAGAACCCGGTCACATAGCTGCCTTGCACTGCAAGGGAGTCTGGGAAATGTAGTCCCGCTGTGTAGCCAGGAAGGAAAGGGGGGATGCTTTGGTGACCAACTGCCATCTTTGCCCCAGACCCTGAGCATCTGGGATACTCATCCAAGGCCACATAAGAAGTGAGAGGGTCCATGCTTTATCTTCTATGCTCCTCCTTGGTTGAGAATTGTGTGCTCTGACCATTACTTCCAATGTGGGGGTTCAGGGGACCCAGACAGAGAGAGGGCATGAGTGTGGCAAGCTCGCTCACGCCGGGGCCATTGCATCCACGATGGATGGAGAAGATGCAGGAGCCGGGATGGGCGTCTCCTCCCAGCCCCGGCTCCAGGTGTGAGCTTCAGCCGCCAGCACGCACAGCAGAGTTGACTGGCCGTTTCCACCTCCGTGCCCACTGCCTTTTATCACCAGAGGGGAGTGGGATGGGGCAAGAAGGTGGGCGTGCTTTCTCGAATGTTCCTGGGAGTGACATCAACAAAAAGGCATCACGTGCCGCTGAGCACCCAGATGTATTCTTGCCCTACTTTTGCCTCTTCTCTCTTTCCCCGGCCTGTTCTCCAGACAAAACCTGCTACAACCCCCTCTTCAACTCCGAGGACATGCAGGAGATCACACAGCACTTCGCCGTCTGCCACGTGGATGCCCCTGGCCAGCAGGACGGCGCTGCCTCCTTCCCCGTGGGGTAAGACCCGGAGCCTTGTGCCCCAGGAGGGGGACAGGAAAGCCACACGGGTGGACTGGGGGTGGGGGGTGGGGGCAAAGGCAGGCATCACACTGGGTTTTTGTTTGTTTTATTCTAGTAAGATATACATAACCTAAGGTTTACCATCTTAACCATTATTGAGGTGAAGTTGAGTAGCATTAAGTGCATTCACGCTGGTGTGCAGCCGTCCCCACCGTCCATCTCCAGGACTTACCATCTTAAACCAGAACCCTGTCCCTGCTAAACACCATGTCCTGATTCCCTGCCACCCAGGGAGCTAGTTTGTTCATAGGTGTGCGTGCCCCTATGCACACCTCTGCGTGGGACTGAGTGGGAGAGGACTTTGACAAGAAAAATCGTTAGGAGAGAGTTCTAGAAAGGTTGGAGGAAAAAGAGAGGGAACAACAGGAAATAATATTGATGGAGTACTTCCTGTGGTCCAGGCTTAGTTTTTTTTTTTTTTTTTTTAAGGTTTATTTATTTATTTGAGAGAGAGAGACAGAGAGTGAGAGAGAATCTGGAGTGTAGGAGGAGAAGCAGAGGGAGAGGGAGAGACAGTCCAAGCAGACTCACTGCCCAGCACAGAGCCCAAACTGCGGCTCGATCCCATGACCCTGAGATCATGACCTGAGCCAAGATCAAGACTCAAATGGTCAACTGACTCAGCCACCCAGGCGCCCATCACCACTCCCCTCCCCCCAACACTCCCACCTCGGCTTAGTTTTTATGAACACAAGTCACTTGCACTTGTCCGATGGCTAGTATACATGCCTGGCATTAGAGCTCCATTTCCTGGATGAAGAAACCGAGGGGCAGAAGGGTTGAGTAGCTTACCCTTCGAGGTTGCACAGCTGATTTAACTGGGGGAGTCGGAGAGTGTGCTGGCTCTAAGGATCATGTCCTCTTTAGAGCGTCAGGGTCCCTCGTCTGGGTGTTTAGCTGCATGCTCCTCCTCGGGGTGCAGTCAGGGCAGCCTTCCCGTCTCCCCTGTGAGTCTCAGGACAGGCTACCCTCAGTGTGCTCAGGGGGGAGGGGAGGCCGACCTCTTAGAGGTACCCTCTATCCCCTATCTTGAGGTTGTCATTAAACCACGGGTGGTGGCATCAGGCTCTTGGGTTTCAAGTCTCCCAGATGGGGCCTTCTTGACATTCACAGACAGATTTCCTTTTTTTTTTTTTTTTTTTTTTTTTTTAATTTCTTAGTTTTTGTTGGTGTTGAGAATTATCCTTAAAAATTAACCTTTATCAGAGAAGGGAAAGGATACCTAGCCCCATGGAGCGACAACCAAACCTTAAAAGCTTCCTAACACAGCGAGACACAGTTAACTGTCCACTAGCAGATTAAACCAGATTAAACAAATTCATCTTTGTTTGAGACAACTGTTTGAAAGACTTGAGGTGACCGAGGGGCTCTTAGGTCCCCAGGGGGAGATTTAAGAAAACGTCCTGAGGTTTGGGCCCCGGCTTCTGGAATCTTCACTAAGTTGACCTGGAGGTCACGATGCAGGGTACGTGCTCCCCCAGTTAGCAGGTGATTTCAGTGCGTGGCTGGTGAGATCTATGGCATGGATGGCCCCCGCCTTATTTCTGCCTCTTGTAGTTGAGGGGCTCCCAGTCCCTCTAGGGTACACCCCCTCTGTCCCGGGGCTGAGGTGGCAAGGCAGGGATGGGCACCCCAGCTCTGGGGTCAGCTTTCTACAGATGGCAGGGGGGGCTGGTGATAGAATCTTGTTACCTCCTGGCTATGCACCCAACCCCAGGAACAGCGAGAAAAGACGCCGATGGGTGTTAAGTGGCTTCCCCAGAATCACCTTTTGGAGGCTGCTGGCTGTAAACTGAGTCACGGCCACTGTGGAAAGACACTGGCTCCATTTATGCATAGACACCACCCAGGGTCTTTCTGGCTCTTTCTGGAGCATTTGTACACGCTGGTTCCCCCCACTTAGAATATGTATACTATACTCTATGCTCCTCGAACCCCAATGCCCTCCTTCAGTGGTGTCACTGCTCCAGGAAGCCCTCCCTAACCACCTGATCAGAACAGGGCTCCCTGTTTCGGCCACCCTTCTGCACACGCCCACCTCCCTCACTGTCACCTTTGTCCTCACCCTCCCTTGTTCCACCTGGCCCGTGTGCTGGACCAGGTCTGCCGTGCTCCCGCAGTCTCCCCGTGGCCTCTCCAGGAGCCTGGCATGAGTGAGCACCAGCCACTCCTTCGCGAAAGAAACTCCTTCATGTGTATTCTGAGTCCTCCTCCCTGAGGCCAGCCTGTGGGTGCCTCCTAGCCAAGGCTGTCCCTGTTTCCCACAGCACCCTAACCCATCCGCTGGTCCTGTGAGGCCTCTTGCCGGCTCCCCCAGGGACCTGTCTAGAGTATCATGGGATGCCCAGAGGAGCTTGCTCCTAACACGGCGTGCTGTGTGGACTTTCTTTTGATAAAAAGGCCAGGCTCTCTGATGGCACCTAAGGTCTTGGTGAAAGGGATGATTCTTGGAGTCCTTCCAGAGAAGACGGGAAACAAAATGTGCAGAACTCTGGCTGGGGTTGTTAGCTCCTGGTGGGACGGAGGTCCCTGACCTTTCTGGAGATTCCAGGGAGGTGAGCACACAGTCTCTTGCGAGGAGGCAGAGGGAGCAGCAGGTGCAAAGGCCAGGAAGAGAGCACGCCTAGAAATGCTCCAAGAGACACCAGGAGCAGGGTTGCTGTTAGTCGAGAGGAAGGAACGACCCCGGACAGTGTCTGGGGTTGGCAATGGGTACACTTGGCCCAGCGGGTACCCCATGCGGGCCCTGCTAAGGACTTGGTGACAGGAGACTGTTGTTCCCTACCCTCTGGGAAGGGGAAGCGTCTGCCTGAATGCACAGGCTCAGGGCAGCCTGCAGACTCCATCGTCACCCATCCTGGGTCCTCAGCACTCCCACCGTCCTTGATACCCGCTGTGGTGATCCAGCTTTGACAGAGGGGAGCCTCCCAGCCCTGCAGTAACAGGAACCAGGGGCCCAGCAGATGTGTGACACTGAGGCATCCCCATGCCTTAAAATCCCCCTGGGTTCTCTGTCTCCCCAAACCCACGGTGCAGCTCTCTGGGGTGGCCCGCCTCTTTGTACCCTCTCCAAGCTCCTTCCAGAGCTTGGGGACAGGGGTGAGAGAGGAGGGACTTTCCTGTGGCCAGGAATGTTTTATGGGAGAGCAGCCTGCGGGCCCCCTTCTGGGACGTGACTGAGGAATCCCAGAGCCCAGGTGAGATGCCACACTAAGGGCCTGCCTGGCCACGAAGCCAAGTGGCTCTTCCAGGCATCAGTGCTGTTTAATCCCACAGGAACCTCGCAGACTTGTAGGGATTAGATGAGCTTCTGATGCTCCTCAGAGGCTTGGTGGGGGACCTGGAGCATAGGAAGCAATCCGTCCAGGGTCAGTTTACAAACAAGGGGAGCATTGGAGTGGGGCATGGCCTTGCACCGTGGAGCAGGCTCATGCTCGCTGCCAGAAAGGAGGGCTGCAGGGGCCTTGGCAGGGATGGGGGGCTGGTGATCGGGCCTACAGGCCAGGTCGTGGGTGGGCCCAGCCCGTCAAGTGTGTTCCTGTTTGAGGATTCATTTCCTCTGGGGTCTTGCTCTCACTAACGGCCTCTGCCTGGCTTCTCCCGAAGGTACATGTACCCCTCCATGGACCAGCTGGCCGAGATGCTTCCTGGAGTCCTCCACCAGTTTGGGTAAGAGTGAGGGATCTGTTCCCCCAGCAGCCTGCAGAGAAGGGTGGCTCCTAGCTTCCGCCTTCCCCTGGCCTTGATCTAGCCTGCCCCCTGCAACGTAGGAGAGAAATTAGCTGTCACGCGTCGTGACCTGTTTTCCCACAGTCTCTAGTCGGGTCCCACTGGGCTCTTCCCTGGATGCAGACACATCACCCATCCTTTCCCTGCCTCCCCTTCTTTCATTGCTTTCTCTTATCGGCGGAACATTCTGGAAGAGGGTGGCCCGAGCCCTCGATTTCTCCCTCTGTGCCCTATTTCTCCAGTGCTCAGGTCTCTCTTACTCAAGCCTTCGGTGTGAAGATAATACCCCAGAGTTCTTGCCCATTTTATTTTCATTACAAGTTTCAGAGTCTAAAATAAAAGCTTGAGAGTGGGAAGAAGCGGTGCCATAATGGGCCTGCCCGTAATGGTCAGACGGTCTCTCAGAGCCTGGGCTGCAGTCGGGAGAGAAGTAAGGAAAAGAGACGAGTCTCTCCAAGGTCACGGCCTCCTGTCAGGCTGCAAAGCATGATGCATTTCGGGTCCTCGAGGCACGTCACGGCCGCGTGTCCCCACTGTGTCTAGCTTGCCAGCCACGCTCAACATTGAGCGGGACCTATGCTGGGGGAGGCGACGTTCCTTAGAGGCCAGGACGGGGGGAGGTTTTAAGAGGGTCATTAGGGCCCCCATTGCTCATTCCTTCTGTCACATGAATTTTCATTTCTGCTTCCAGGCTGAAAAGCATCATTGGCATGGGAACTGGAGCAGGCGCCTACATCCTCACTCGGTTTGCTGTGAGTTCCTTGGCACTTTTTTTTGTTTGTTTGTTTTTAAAACCATGTTAAAGTAGAATTAAGATTAAGGAAGACAATTGGAAGACCATCAAAAACCCTGAAACGAAGAGAGAAATGATCCGTCACTTCATTTCCGAAGGGAGAACCGCAGTTCACATGGGGGTGTGTGGTCTGGGGTCGTGCGCGTGTGTGTGTGCACGCGCACGCATGTGTGTTCTCACGTACCTATGAACCACCTTTCTTTTCCTTCAGGGGACATACTCTTTGATCATTGGTTTTGCTCACTTTGCACTTGATTGTGGGCAGGTCCTCACGTCCCTGCACGTGTCGTGGGCCGTCTTTACGATAACCCCACGCCTTTTGGATCCTGACTGATGCTAAACTAGAATCTGAGACACATATGTCACCATGACATGGGCCCAAGTGCTACTGGATTGTTCGTGTCCTCACCAAGCAATTGACTTAAAAACGCAGCGGTGCTCATTTTATTCACACAGTTGTGTATTCTGACTGCCTGTTATTTGCTGGACTTTGTCAGAAGTTAGAAATGCTGGTATGAAAAAAAAAAAAAGAAATGCTGGTATGAATAAAAAACGGCCTGACTACTGAGGCTCTGAGCAGATAAGGGAAGGTACGCATTAGATCTGAGATGGACGCACAGATGACTCTTCCGGGAGGAGTTGCTAAAGAGCATCCACGTGCCCTGCCTGACTCAGAGTGGGCCGTCTGATGTGCCCACTTGGCAGGTGGGGAAGAGGAGGTGCGGGGAGGAGAAGTGACTTGCCTAAGGCAGGTCTGCCAAGCACGCATGTTCTACGTCTCCTGCTTCCTATCCCCACTCTGTCAGGGGCTCAGTCCTGTGTCAGCTGAGCTGGAACCTCAGTTCTGCATGGGGGGTGGGGGTTGAAGGCTCTTGAGGGCAGCGTCCTGCTCTGGTGGCCCACGCGGGCCCTTCTCTGGCACTTTGCTCAACCTTCAGTTTGGCCTTTGAAGTCTATAGTATCTGAGATTGTGGGATTGCCTCTCACCTTATGTCTCGAATTGCAGCTGAACAACCCCGAGATGGTGGAGGGCCTCGTCCTTATCAACGTGAACCCTTGTGCAGAAGGCTGGATGGATTGGGCTGCATCCAAGGTGAGGCTGGGGGTCAGGGACAGGGTCATGGCCAGGATCAGAGTCAGGATCAAGAGGCCAGATCAGGGTCCAGGGTCAGGGTCCAGGTCAGGGTCCAATGTCAAGATCAGGGCCAGGGTCAGGGCCAGGCTCCAGGATCAGGTTCAGGGCTAGGACCACGGCTGGATCAGGGCCAGGATCAGAGTCAGGGCCAGATCAGGGTCCAGGGTCAGGGCCAGAATTAGGGTCAGGATCCAGGGTCAGAGTCAGGGCCAGGGCCAGGGCCCATGGTCAGGGCCAAAATCAGGGCCAGAATCAGAATCAGGGTCAGGGCCAGGATCAGGTTCAGGGCCAGGGTCAGATTCAGGGCCAGGATCAGGGTCAGGCAAGTGGAACAGGTGTGCTTGCTGAGACCCCTCCTAACCTCCTACGCCCCACCCCTACAAAGAAAGCAGGTTTCCTTTGCTTTGCTGAGAATAGTAAACATGACCTCAGCTATTTGCCGTTCAGAAGATTTCAGTAGGACACTGTGGTCTAAACCAGACATCCCATGGGGATGTGCGTCCTCGAGCCAGCTTTGATAAGCGTAGCTTGGGTTGAGACGTGTTTGCTGAGGATCTAACACGTACTGGGCTTTGCCTGAGACACTGGAAATAAAAAGAAAGACAAGACAAAGGCCTCTCGTGTCAGGAACCCACATATTATTGGTGAAAAAGCAGGGTGTGTTTAGGACCAGCACTGCCACTCAGTTTGATGACAGTAATGATTAGCTAATGTGTCCTGAGGATTTACCAGGCGCTATTTGTACCCTCTGACCACACTTAATCCTCACACTGACTCCAGGGGGTGGGGACTGTTAGAGCCATGTTCCAGAAAAGGAATCCGAGACTGCGAGTGGCGAGGGAAGCTGTCCAGGGTCCCACAAAGCTAGGCAGTGGGGCTGAACACAGATCCCGTGGACTCTGGTCCTTGAGCCTCCCCTCCTGCCTCCCTCCCTAGTCTCATCCAGCAGGTGTTGAACGGCCCCTCGGCCCAAGCAGTGTGGGTCTGGCAATACAGAGGGCGCAGGGCACAGGCCTGCCTGGAGGAGGGGGCAACCCGTGCTGTCTCAGGAATCTCCGCCCTGGCTGGTGTCCTAGGGTTCCTAGTTGACCTTTTAAAAATGATTATTGTGTTTTTTCATAAAGGCGCGTGCATTTGCCAAGGAGCGGGGAGGCCGTTCCAATTGAAATAGGACCAAACCTTTCAAGCCGGGGTGATCCCGGTCTTTCGTTTTGGAAGTATGTTTTTGCCAAGTGTCGGGTGGCGGTCGCAGATGGAGGTTTGAAGGGCTCGTGCCCCTCCCTGCTGTCCCACCCCTGTCTCGGCTTCTCTGATGCTGCATTTGCTTGAATGTTCTACTAGAACGCAGGAGTTCATCTCTCCCCTCTGCGTGATATTCAGGAGTGGAGAACACTCCCTGTTTTTTATTTTATTTTCCAGGAAAGGAAGTGAGATCCCAGTCAGCCAGTTTGGCTCCTCGGTTAACTATTCTGAGCCAGACATGGACAGCGACCATTGGCTAAAAAGGAGCCTGAGGAATGTCTGTGTGGCTTTAGTATCTGCACCATATCCTTCCTTTCCAACCCCAAGAGAAAAAAAAAAAAAAAAACCCTATATCAAGAGTAATCTACTGTGCGTCAGGCACTGGTGTCAGATCCTGTGACATGTGCGGTTGCCTCCTTTATCCGCACCTTGGCCTCGTGACTTGAAAGCTCCTGGCACTGCTGCTTATAGATGAAAGGCCTGAGCTTCAGAGGCTCTGCACCCCCTAGGACCACACAGCAGGGGTCAAGAGCTTCTCTGTCCTGCCGGCCCTTGCCTGACACTGAAGTTGGTCAGCACACATGTATGGAGCTCCCGATGGATGCCTAGCATTTATAGAGCTCCTGCTGTGTACCTAGCTTTTGTGGAGCTCCTGCTGTATACCTAGCATTTATGGAGCTCCTACGTTATATCCAGCATTATGTCGGGGAGAGGTATTAGAGGAGAAAGTTGGCAGTGTCTTTAGTGACCTCAGTCTATGCAAAGAGAGGATACTGGCTTGAGGGAGGAGATCTAGAGGATGCTATAGGAAGGCTAGTTCAAGGCAAGCAGATCCTTGTTATCCAGGAGATTGCTCCTTCCTGCTTTGGAAAAAGAAAGTTTATTTTATAGATAAAGCACCCATTCGTATTTAATATTAGGAAAAAATATCGCCATTTCCTTCCTCAAATTCTTTTATTAGAAAAAGATTTTATTTCTTTACTTATTTGACAGAGAGAGGAGAGATAGAGATAGAGAGAGATAGAGAACAAGCAGGTGAGGTATAGACCGGCCGAGCTCAGCGTGTGTTTAGAAGACACGGATGGGGGCCCTCCTTGTGAGGACCTAGTGTGGAGGGCACAGGAAAGGCTGGGAGCAGGTCGGGTCTCTGTTCAGCACGTGTTAGCTGTGCATGTTCTGTGCGTGGGGTCTGAGAACAAGCAGTTGACAGAGGCTCAGGCCCCACCTTCTGGGGTGGGGGGAGGCGGGAGCCCCAGGTCCCGCAAGCAACTGGAGCAGGCAAGCAAGTTCCCACAAGGAGGCTGCCCGCAGACCTGAGTGCCGGGGAGCCAGCCTGTGTCCCGTGGGCCGGGAGGCTTGGCTGACCCCGCGTCTCTGCCGCAAACACCTGTTCTAATCACATCTCTTCTCGCCGTCCCCAGATCTCCGGGTGGACCCAAGCCCTTCCAGACATGGTGGTGTCCCACCTCTTTGGGAAGGTGAGTAGCGTGGCCTGGAACCTCTGTCATTCACACTGAGCACCGCGTAGGGCACGGACACGAATGGGACCCGAGGCAGCGGGCCACCTGCAGGTGCCCACCCCGTCCCCAGCGTGACGTGACTGCTTTACCATCAGGTCGCAGCTCGCTCTCCTTTTACTGTCAGCCTTCTTAAACCAGCCTTGTTGCGGTATGAGACCCTGCACGTCCTGGAAATACGACATTTAACAAACACTGACACATGCATCCGCCCGTAAAACCACACTGAAATTGAGATAATGACCACATCCATTGCCCCCAGGAGCCCACTGTGCCCCGTGCTAACCCTTCCCCTCCCTGCTCCTTGGACAACCTCAGGTCTGCTCTCCGTCACTAGAGATTAGTTTGTCTTTCCTAGATTTTGATATTAATGGCATCATGTGGTATGGACCCTGCTTTAAAAAAAAATTAGTAATCTGGCTTCTTTCACTCATCACAGTTGAGATCCACCTCTGTTGTTGGGTTTTTCAGTAGTTCACTCCTTTTTAGCACTGGCTGGTGTTGTGCGTGCGGATGATGTGCTACGTACAGTTTGTTTTTCCATTCGCTCGTTGATGGGCATTTGGGTTATTTCCAGTTGCGGCTGTTACCGATCAATCCTACAGGAAACACATCCACGGAGTTTGCTATATGCTCTGCTCGGTCCTAAGGATTTTATAAATATGAGAATATGAATCCCTCCAAGAGCGGTTTGAGCCATGTAAAAAGTGTTTATTCCCAGTTTATGGATGAGACCAGAGAGGTCGATTGATTGCTGTGAGGTTGCACAGTCAGGGTGAGGTGAGGCTGGGATTGGAACTGATGTGTCCGGCTCCAGAGCATGTTCCCATATCCAGAGCAGGACACTGGCCATCTGTGCTTCTGCTGTGGTCTGTGCTCTTCGACGGGTTATTCTGAAGTCCCCCCAGCCGTCCCCTGGCCGGCCAGCAGGGCCCCCGACTGGCCGACAGCCCCAGGGGAGCATGTGCAGGGGCTCCTGGCACAGGCCCAGACACCGGCCCAGCTCAAGGTGTTTGCTCTGTGTTCTGTGTGGCCTGCTCACCGCTCTCTGTCACCGAGCGAGAGCGTGACCGTCCGAGATGTGACCAGATGTTGTGCTTGGCCAGGTGTGGCCACTGTGTTTGGTCCTCGTGTTATTTTCCTGGGGCTGCTCTAACAAGCACCCCACACCGGGCGGCTTAAAACAACAGGAACTCATCTGTCAGGGTGCGGAGGCCAGCACACCCTGGAAGTGTCGGCCAGGCCACACTCCCTCCAGTGGCCCAGCGCAGGTGGAGGATCCCTCCTTGCCTTTCCAGCTTCTGGGAGCTCCAGAATCCCTTGGCTTGTGTCTGAGCACTCCAGGCTCTGACTCTGTCTTGATGACCCCTCCGTGTGGGCTTCAAACCTCCCTCTGGGGGCGCCCGGGTGGCTCAGTCCGTTGAGCATCTGACTCTTGATTTCAGCTCAGGTCCTGATCTCAGGGTTGTGAGATGGAGTCTTGCATGGGCTTCCGAGCTCAGCGTGGAGCCTGCCTCTCCCTCTCCTTCTGCTCCTCCCCTCCCCCACATTCTCTCTAAATAAATAAAATTAAAAAAAAAAATCTCTCCTCAGCCTTTCACCTGCCATTAGATTTAGGACCTCCTGGGATAATCTAGAATGATCTCATCTCAGGATGACATCTACAAAGACCTCTGTTCTGAATAAGTTAGCATTCGCGGTGTCCGGGGGTTTAATGGGGACGTAGCCTTTGCGGCCACCCTGCAGCCCATGGGAGCCTGCGTCCCCCCGACCTGTGCACCGTCCGGTTTGTGATATGTTTTCTCCATCCCGAGTGTATAATCTGAACCTCGAGGAATATGGAAAAAAATAAAGCCAGTTTCTGTATTTCCTTGCAGGAGGGGGTATCAAGTATGGGGTGAGAGTCTGGCCTGCTTGTACCCCACATTACTTGAGGTATCTCTTGGAGTCCCTAAATCACTATAGTTTGTGTGTATTTTCATTTTTGTTTTGATCTGAAACCCCAGCACCATGAATTCCTCACATGATTTTTTTCTCCCCCTGATTTTCTATTTAACAGCATGTTGGCTTCTTTGTTGCTTTGGTGATCAGGGACTATTTAGACAATCGCTCGGGCCGGACTCAGGGCCCCCTTTGCTCCCTCTCTGTCCTGCTCTGGTTGCCACTGATCACATCAGGCCATTTTGTGGAACCTACACATCCGCTCTCTTACAAATGAGAAACAGAGCAAGCTCGTCACTTGTTTGTTTGTCCCAAATCACATTCAGAAAGGAACCAGGGAGAGGGAGGCTGGAGGCTCCTGCAGGGCTCTGGCTGCCTCCCCCCCCACCCCACCCCCATCCCCCACCCTGAACCTCCCCTGGGAACTGAGATGGCCCTTCCTTCCAGAAACTTCCTGGGAGTTGCATGACTTCGTTTTGTGTTTCCAGCATGAAAAACTTCTCGGCTTCCCCCTTAAAAATATTAATTGCTAGCAGTTGCTTATCAGTTTTTACTGTGTATGTACAAAGGGCTCTTGTGCGCACAGCCCCTGTTAAATCCCACAACCTGACGAAAGAGGTAAGAGCCACCTCCTGCTTTATTTTTGACTAAGGCTCGGGGACATTAAGATGCTTGCCCCCAGGAAAGAAAGGGCAGTGCCCGAGCCAAGCTCTAGATTCAGGAGGACTGACTTCAGATAACGACTCCCCCAGTCGGGAGCCCGGAAGGGGCTGCTTTGCCCTTTGCAGGTTTGCATCCTTTCCTGCTATCAGCCGATGTGCAAAATCAGGCTGCATTTTCGGGGGTTTCCTCAGCTCCCCTTCCCACCCCGGCAGTCAAGTGGGTTAGGCATGGTTATCTCTGTGCCTGTATAACCTGAAGAGTGGAGACACTCAGGAGTGGCCTGGGGTGGCAGGCGCAATGAAGGGTCTCTCTCCCCTCACCCCCAATGCAGGAGGAAATGCAGAACAACGTGGAGGTGGTCCACACTTACCGCCAGCACATCGTGAATGACATGAACCCCGGCAACCTGCACCTGTTCATCAACGCCTACAACAGGTACTGGGCCGCAGCTCAGCCACGCCGAGTTCCTTGTGTTGGTCTGGAGCGTGGGCTAAGGCGGAGGGGGCTCCTCAGCTTAGGAGGAGATGCAGCCCCTGACTTGCAGCAGATAGATTACTGGGACAGGGACAAGGTGCCTCGGTGTTTCGGGCACTTTGCAAGGAGCTCAGCTACCGCGCCAGACCACGGGGAAGGGGGCAAGCATGAGGGGCACACGGTGAAGCCCTCACGGGGTTTGGAGTCAGCGCTTTGCTCAGGCTGAGCCCTAGGAGAGGCCAGGTGGGGGGAGAGCGAAGAGAGCATCCGCGGAGCCCTGGAGGCGAACAGGAGGAGTCCAGGGGGGCTGCTGGGAGGGGAGTCCTGCTGAGGATAAGGAGCCCATCCTGCCAGCCTTTGGCGAGGGCAGGGGTGGGGTGGCCCTCTTGCTGATAGCTAGCTGCTAGCCTGGACCTCAGCTAAGGGAGGGGACAGGGCGGGGACATGGTGTCAGCCGGGGGGTTGTAAACCCCAGTGGATGCAGTCTACCCGCCACGCTCCCATGAGAGGGACGGGAAGGAGCCTCATGGGGTGTCTGGCCTCGCCCTTGATAGCTTCACGAAGGGCATTCCCATCTGTAACAAGATCCAGTGTCCATGTCCTCTTAACCATCCACCCAGCCTCCCGCCGGGAGGGAGAGGTCACATCCCCAGTGGGTAACAGAAGGCCTGGGGCCCAGCAGGGCGTTTCATCAGCAAACACTCCCCGAGAGCTGGAGCAGTCAGGCTGTCGGCTAAGGAGGTGGGTGGACACACGCACAGAGGCCAGGACAGTCCCCAGGCCCCACCCGCTGCCTTGGGTTCACGATGCCCCTAGGAATCCAGTGATTCCTCTTAAAAATCCTGGACGCTGTTACCATCATGGAAGCACAGGCACAGAGGGGTTCAGTGTTCTGCCCAAAGTCACACAGCTGGGAAGTTGGAGGGGCGCGTGATCTGAATCCAGTCCATCTGGCTCCAGGCCATACGTCTGGCGGTGGGAGCTGCCGGGAGATGAGGGGCTGGATTGATGTCTGCAGGGGCGAGCCGTGGGGCTGGCCGGGCCCACGTGGGGCATGACGCAGCACCGTGGGAAACCGTGGGAGGCTTTGGAACGAGGATGGAGACGGGTCGGGCCTGAGATCTCAAGGAGATTGTGTAGTGGACTCAGAGTTGGGGGCTGGTGAGACACAGGCCAACAGTGGAGGCCGGTGCTCCATGGGGGGCGGGGGGATAGGAACCCTCTGTGGTGGAGGACGTGGCTTGTACTCCTATTAAAAATAAATGTTAGGAACAAGGAGGTGGGCCATACAGGGGAAATGCACGAGTCCTGCTACCCCTGAAACCATTTATATGGACCCCCAGAGGCTGTGATGTCCTGAGAGCCAGGCGGGTTGGAACATGAGTGGTTTTGCCAGCACGGCCAAGGGCAGGACCTCCCGGGGTGTAACCATGCCTTCCTTGTCTGCAGCCGACGAGACCTGGAGATCGAGCGGCCGATGCCCGGAGCCCACACAGTCACCCTGCAGTGAGTGGCTTTTCTCCCCCTCACCGACTGCGTAGCCTTGCTCAGCCACTGGCAGGACCTTCTTTCCATGCTCGGCGGGAGGGCCCCTCTGTGCCAGGGCATCGGCGTCGGCGAGCCCTGGGTGCATTCTTCCCAGGAGTCAGGCACTACCCGGTCTCAGTCACCTCCTTATGCAGGTGGTGGGGTTCCTGGGGTGTCCCCGAGACCTGGGTGGGAGCCATGGATCTCAGAATGCTGCGTGCGCTTTGGATAGAATTGATTAAGCACCTACTCTGTGTTGCATACGGGGTTAGGCTTTGCTTTCACAGAGCCTGGAGATGACTAAGACACAAGTCCCACCCTCAAGTGCCCTAGGGGGGCAAAGACCGTCATGGGGACCACTAGCTGCGTTCCACCAGTAACGCCTGTCTTCTGTAGTCCCTCAAGTGAACCCGTATTATTTGACACCTGAACTTGGCACATGCCATTTCCTTTGCTGGGCCTGTCCTCTTGGTCTCTGAGCCTGATTGCTGGCAAAGTCCTACTTATCCTGCCTTGAAGGAGAGGATGCTTGAAACTAAAAACATCAGGGCACAGAAATTCTCCGGCTGAAATTAATACTAAGGTGTAAATGACTTCCACCCCCCACCTTCCCCCGAGGTGTATCCTAAGAACAAAGCAGAGGATGGAAGGAGAAGGAAAAGAAAAACAGCAAAGGGTACTGGGGAAATCAAAATAAAATATTTTTATTTTTTCAAAATTTTTTAGAACTCTGGTCCCAGCCTAGCAGGCCTGGGAGCATGTGAATCTTTAGATGAACTTTGTGTTACCTCTCCCTTCTCTCCCTGCCTCCAGGTGTCCTGCTTTGTTGGTGGTTGGGGACAGTTCTCCTGCTGTGGACGCTGTGGTAGGTAGAAATCGTCCACTTGTTTCTGTGCTTAAGTCAACAGCCCATATCTGATTGGCCTTGGGGTGGGGGTTGGGGGGACCCCAGACATGAGCCTCTTTCCCTGCCTTTCCTCACTGGCCCTGCAGACCACTTCCCATTGGTTGGTTTAGATGGGTTTGTCACCTGGCTTGCTGGTCCAAGGGACTGTCCTCTCCTTTGGGAATTGGGTAGAGTTTTCAGACCCAGTTGGTGCCCGAATGTCTGGCGGGGCAGAGAGGCATCTGGGGAGTGAAGCTCAGACAAGGCTCTGTGGGGCATTTCACCCCTTAATTCCCACCTGTGATGTTGGGGAGGAAAAGCCCAGACTCTACCCTTCCATCATCCCTGTAGCTAGAGACAGGGAGATGTAGGGGTGATTGAGCAGAGTCCTAGAGAGGTGACATGCCTTGTGCGGTGGGCTACAGAGTGGGATTTGCAAATGTTCATAGAATAAAGACCTGAAATGTCTTAAGGGGCCGTGAGTTTCCTGTGATCTAACCCACTGGACATAATCCTAGGATGCATCAGTAGAGATCTCTTATTCACATCAAGGGAGGTGATAGTTCTCCTATAGGTGCTTTGAACATCACGGGTCACATGTGGGTTATTTTGCCCAGACAATTTGAAGAGAGAAACCTGGCTTAGCAAACATCATTTTGTATGAAGAATAGTTGTCTGGAGTAGAGATGCTGAGCTTGCACAATCGCTGACAGCAGCAGCTGGTTACAGAAGGCCATTCATTTAGCAGCTTTCTGGGACATCCGCTAGATTGGAGCTCATCTCCCTGACAACCCATTGAGAAAGATATTATTCCCATCTTATTGATAAAAAAAACCGAGGCTCAAAGACATGAAGTACCTTGTCTGAGGTCGCCCGGCTAGCGATGGCAGGGCTGGAATTTATGGCCACGTTGCTTAACCTTGAAGGCCCTATTCTTTCCTCCAGGCTGGCGGGGGCACTGGTGCTGCTGCCATTGGTGGCCGTGTCACCGGGAAGGGGGAAAAGATGAGGACTTTGGCCCCAGAGAGAAAATTAACAGATTTCTTCCCTTTCCTTGTCCAGGTGGAGTGCAACTCGAAATTGGACCCAACCAAGACCACTCTCCTCAAGGTACAGGCGAAATGATCCCAGTTTGCATTTGTTCTTTCTCAGAGACCCCTGGTTTGCTGCAGAAAGGAGTAGTCTAGTGCCTGCTTAGAAACCAGAGAAAGAATTCTTTTCTTTTTTAAATTATTTTTATTTTTATTTTTAAAGATGTTTATTTATCTATTCACGAGAGACACAGTGAGAGAGGCAGAGACACAGGCAGAGGGAGAAGCAGGCTCCCTTCAGGGAGCCCGAGGCAGGACTCGATCCCAGGACCCCAGGATCATGACCTGAGCCAAAGGCAGATGCTCAACCGCTGAGACACCAGGGGCCCAAGAAAGAATTCTTTAATGTTTGCATTAAAGACACAAACGTCTGTGTGTCGGGCCCCCGCGGGTCACCCTCAGCCACAAACCTTCTCTGGGACCCCAAGACCTTGGGGGGCTACTGGCTGTGGTGATCTGATGAGGAATGGACCGGGGATGGTGCAAGCAGGGCTCTCCCGGGGGTGGGTGGAGAGTGGAGGCGGGGGCTGGGGCGTTCTCCCGAGGGGGGCTGTGCCATGGGAAGGCAGGACCATGTCTAGAAGGCTCGTCTGGACACTTGAGGTGCTCACTGTCCCCGAGGCCAGGGTGAAGGTCCGCGCCTTCGCTGACCATGCAATCCGGCCACCCTGGCATTTGCGGCCGCATTGCCCCAAAGATACAATGAATGTGAAGAATCTTTCTGGCTATTCTCCCGGGAGGGCAGGGGACCCAGGAAGGACCTGTGTGAAATGAGGGGGCATAAGGAGCTGAGGGGCTGTGGGTCACTGTGAAAGAGGAACACATTTGAAAGGCATCGGGGAGGACGCCTGGGTGACTCAGGGGCTGAGCGTCTGCCTTTGGCTCAGGGCGTGATCCCGGGGTCCTGAGATCGAGTCCCGCATCGGGCTCCCTGCATGGAGAGCCTGCTTCTCCCTCTGCCTCCGTCTCTGCCTCTCTCTGTGTGTCTCTCATGAATAAATGAAAGGCCCCAGGAGGCATCTGACACTTATCCAGGAGGGGTGGCTGGTCCCCCAGAACTGGCTCTTTGACCTACATTTTCTTTCAAGATTTCCCTACAAGGAAATTATGAGACTGGAAGATGCTGGGCTTTGGGCCTGAGGGGGCTGCTGATCGGCCAACCCGGGGGCTCCTTTGTCTCAATCGTCCTAACACATCTGTGTCTGGGCTCCGGCAGCATGGGGGCTGCCGTCCCGGGGGGAAGGTGGACAGGCCACAGTTACTGCTGCTAGGGAGGGGAGGAAGGAGCATTTGGGAAGGGGGTCAGTCCCCTCTTCTCCATAAAAGCACCCCAAGCTGGGTGGACTAAAGGCACAGGAGTCTGTTTTCTTCACCATCTGGAGGCTGCCAGCCCAAGTCAAGGTGTGGCCAGGGCCACGCTCCCTCTGAAGGTTCCAGGGAGCCTCCTTCCTTGCTCTTCCCACTTCTGGTAGTGGCCAGTCCCGAGTTCCCTGGCTTGTGGCCGCATCCCTCCCATCTCCTCCTCCACGCCACCCACCCTTCTCCCTGGTGTCCCTGAGCCAAAATTACCCTCTAGTTTTAAGTCATTTGACTTAGGATCCAAGTCGCCGGATTTAGGGTCCCCACTAATCCAGTACAGGTCTCATCTGAACCCATTACATGTGCAGAGGGTAGGTGATGACCTAAGAGCAAGTGGCTTTGATGGTGGATGGGATCTTACCCATTTCAGCCTGATTCGGGTTGGCCCCTGGAGTGGAATTCTGGCTTCGTGTCACCAGGATCCCAGACCGAGGACGGCCCCATGGGCGTGGCCCTGAGGCGAGACTCTGGGCCCTGGGATGGCCCGGCCTCAGCCGCTGTCACTCCCACCTGCCAGTCCCATGTCTCTCCAAGCCATCCTTAGCCCGTCCCAGCCTGCCGCCTGGGGTCTCCCGAGCCCTGGGTCTGGGTCCTAGTCCCACGTGCCTACAGCCGCCCTGACGAAGAAGCGGTGGCCTTAGGGTGGGTGATTCAGTAGGAACTTTGGAAGCTACAGCATTTATACCAGGGTGGCCAGCGAAGAGACCATGAGGCCTGAAGTCTCGGGTGAGGCAGTTTCTGTCTGAGAGGGTGTTTAAAGAAAATGTGTGTGTACAGGGCCTCATGCAGCGAAGGCTGTCTGGTCAGATGGACCCTGGCCGGAGGCCTGCAGGTCCTTCAAAGTCTCAGGTCCCTCTTCTGCAGCGGGGGACAGTCACACCCTTTGGTTCCTGAGGAACTGAGGGAAATTTCTTTTAGGGTCTAGCAGAGCACCGAGCATCTGGTTTGTCAAGAAGGCACACATCGGTGCCAAGATGGGTGGTGACAAGAGCAGCCTTGCTAGGTGGAGATGGGTGATTCCCCACCCATAGGTGCCCACTTCCCCCCAAAGGGGACAGACAGAGGCAGGGCAGCGGCAGGTCAGCGCCAGGTGGAGGGATGCCTCTGCTGCTGTGTTTGGCACTAACCAGCTTCCCTTTCCCCCAGATGGCAGATTGTGGTGGCCTCCCGCAGATCTCCCAGGTGAGTCCCACCTGTCACCACTCCCCAGCTGGACGGCAGGTGCCTCTGTGTCCTGTTACCACCTGTTCCCCCCCGTCTGCTCCTCCCCTACCTCACTGTGACATCTGATGACACTGCAGACACCTTACCGCTTATGAAAGGTGCTTGCAGGTCAGGACTTGATCACCTAGGAACCCCAGTGGGGTAGATGACATGGGGGTCTTCTGTGTGGGGTTGCAGAGTATTTCACTGGAGGGATCTGAAGAAGAGACCCTCCCGAGAAGCAGATTTCTGCATCAGGTGGATCCTGGACCTTGACTCATTGCTCTGGATCTTTGCTCACTGCAGCCTCCCCCTCCAGAGCTCCGTACAGAGGTGTAGGCACAAGTGGCCTTTGGTGGTACTAGGCTCTCTGCGGGGTCTCCCTCTGCTCCCACTGGAAAGGGACAAAATCCTTTCAGTGTTTTATCTGCTGTTGTGTTAACACCCATTTGACAGCTGGGAGAAGCCAGGGAAGGATGGGATGTCCCAGCCTCTGGGGGGAACAGATGGGCTCCCCGTAGAGCCCTGCTTAGACATAAGCGTGAGCTAATACCTGCACGTTACTGGTGGAGCCTTTATCCATCCATCTCACTCCTGAGACTCCTCCTGAGACAGTAGGACTCCAGAGCCCCCCTCACGGCCTCCCTCCGTCCTCTCCCTCCCCCCCCCTTCCCTTTTCCCTTTTCTGTATTTGGAATGAGAACTGATGCAGCCCTGACCATGATTAAAATGCGTTGTTGATGCATGGCGGCAGCTGGACTAGCCCAGGCTTCCAGGAGCCCAGTGCAAGGAATCAGTCTCCCCCTTTTGGCCCTTACGGGTAGGGTGTATGTTTACAGAGGGCGTTCCCACCCCTCATTCCATTGGCAAGGGCAACAGTCCTTAGAGATGAGAAGAGCAAGTGTTTATTGCAGTGTCATAAGGGGAAGAGAGGCTGAAAGATTGTTTCTGCTGTCATGCTGGCAAGGGTGCCCCTGTCTCCCTGCACCCCCAACTGGCAACTCTTTCTTATGATTGTCACACAAACCCCAGAGGGCAACTTGACGACAGCCTCTATGTCATGTGGCTCTTTGTAGAATAGTGGCAGGAGTTGGTGGGGAAGGGCAGGAACACTGCGTCTGCCGATGACTTCTCACTGGGACAGAAAGAGTATGAGGAGAATAGAGCCAGGGCATTGCTTTTGAGAGTGGCAGTTAATTAGACTGTGGATATGGCCTTTACCTGAGAGCATTCACCTGCCAGGGCAGATTGATTTGAATTTGGGAGGAGTAATTGATAGAACTGGGTGTGTTCCCAGCATTCCCAACTCATTTCATTTAAAGTAGCCCCATTGTTTTGGTTAATTGGCTTGTCCAACTATACATATATCCATCCATCCATCCATCCATCCATCCACCCATCCAACCATCTGTCCATCCATCCATGCATACATGCATCTACGCATCCATGCATCCATCCATCCATGCATTCATCCATCCATCCACCCATCCAACCATCTGTCCATCCATCCATGCATACATGCATCTATGCATCCATGCATCCATCCATCCATGCATTCATCCACCCACCATCCACCCACCATCCATCCATCCATCCTTCTAATTTTTCTTTCCTTCTGCCCATCATTTTCATCCACCTGTCCATCCTCCTTACTTCTATCCATCCATCTTATTTCCGTTTTATCTATCCACCATCCTTTCTTCCTTCCATCCATCCAGTCAGCCAGCCTGCTCTTGAGGCTGAGAGTGAATTGTCTTAAAAGCATAGAATTTAGAAAGCCCTGGATTAATCTGTAGGACCCCTCACAAATTAGCTGTATGACCTTGGATGGATTATTTACTTCTCTGTTCAGCAATGAAATGTATGCAGATATAGCACCAACCTCATAAGGTTGTTGTCAAGAGAAAATAAGACAATGCTGCAAAGCCCTTAGCACAATGGGTGGTGCTGTTACATTCTAGATGCGGAGTTGGACACATCACTCTACCAGTATAGTCTTCTTTACAGAAACCCTCAGGAGTTAGTGTGGCTCTCTGTCCGTGTTTCACAAGGGGAGGTTATGTAACTTGAACAAACTCACCCAGCTAGGAAGTGAATTTGAATTTTTTTCTCTCGAGCCAAAGTGAAATTTCCTCCCGATGGTGACCTCATAGCCTTTCCTTTACTTTTGTGCATTGTCCTGTCAACATGTGGTGCCCTTCTCCCTTGAGCCCAGCTCTTTAGTGAAGGTGACCAAGGGCACAGCTCCACGTGGCCATTCAGGAACTGGACCTCCGATGACTGACCGTACTGTCCTCTTTTTCTCTTGCAGCCAGCCAAGCTTGCTGAGGCCTTCAAGTACTTCGTGCAGGGCATGGGATACAGTAAGTGTGGCCTTTCCAAGCAGGTAGTGGGGCGAGGGGCAGGCGTGGGGCTTGAAAATGCAATGACCTGAACCGGGCTTGAGTGAGTTATCCTGTATCACCTTGGCCAGCCTCAGCTTTTTGCAAAGTGGGAAGGTCAGGGGAAGAAATACGTAGGTGTGTGGTGGTGGATGGGTGGCAGTGCAAAGGTTCTAGTATCTCCTTTGTACCACGGTGGCTCCCTGCACTGATGAACAGGAGTTGTTTCATACCAGGTAATTTTCTTCAGACTTAGATGAGGACTAATTCTTTAGAATTAGAATTCTAAAGACGATGGCGGAACTATGAAAATCTTTTACATTTTGATTATGTGCTTTCTTTTTTTTCACTAATTCAATTTAATTAACATAGAGTGTATTATAAGTTTCAGAGGTAAAATTTAGTGATGCATCAGTTGCATATATAGGATTACGTGCTTTCTTAAGAGACTTCCAGTTTCCGTGATGCTGGTGGTAGTGGCAGTGATGGTAATGATGGAAGATTATTAGTAAATCCTTCATTTTTTTTTCTCGTTTAACCATCACAATAATCCTATTTGATACTCTTATTTTTTTTGAGAGAGAGAGAGAGCATGAGAGTGCTCATGGATGTGAATGGGGGCAAGCATAAGCCAGGAGCACAGTGGAGATCTCTGCAAAGTTCTTTGAAAACTGTAAAGCTCTGCGTAAGTGGGTGATAAAAAGTCACTTATGTTCAAGACCATGCGTCTTTGCCAAATCACTGGATTTGGGAATTGAAGGATAAATAGAAACATAATTCAAGAACTTACTGCTTTTTGTGTGATGGTTATAGTTTATTTGTTAGACACCTACGGCTCCTTTTCAGAAATGCAGTCCCATGAGCAGGACAGAGAATGCCAAGTGTAAGCACTCTGTTGGGTGGCAGCCACAGATGGTACCGGTTGATGTGTGAGCCATGACGTGGTTCTTCTGGCTCTCTCTGCCTACTGCTTAGAATTATAATTTATGTGCCCATCTTAACTAGGAGGTCTGAATGTCTAATCTCTTCTGTTTTTTGTTGTTTTTTTTTTTTTTTCCTGAGACTGAAACAATTTTCCCACCCATTTAAAATAGTAATGGTATATTTGGTAAACTGACCGCAGTGTTAAGATTGGCCTCAGCCATGGTCAGTTTCTAGAGAGGCCAGGAGAGCCAGGGAGCCTGATTTATGTGCTTTGGGCAGAGTCGGTGGCCCTGGGTGCCTGATTCCAGCAGAAAACATCTGTCTGTGGGTCTGCTGCCTTTTGAGCTGCCTTCCTGATGGGAAAGTGTTCAGCCAGAGGCAGTGGCCGGAGAACACCGATGGGATGGACAGACTTCATTAACCTTGCGGGGCACACGTCATGACTCGTTTGTCTTGGACCTGCCCTGGGTTTGGATTTCTGCCTTGAAAGTGTATTCTGGGGAGAAAGGAAGTGAAAGGCAGGCCTTGTTCCCTCCAACACACACACATACACACACACACACGCGCGTGCTTCTATTTCCAGAAAGCTGAAGCATCCGGCAGGTTATAGGGGAAGACAGCAGGAAGAGCCTTAGTCCCAGAGGCATGAACCACAGAGAAAGCAAATAGTCCTCTATCGAGCGTCTGTTCAAGCTGGGGCGGGCAGGACTAGCTCTTTGCCTCCGTGACACCATTCTGTGGTCACCAGAGCCCTGAGAGGTCGGTTAAACTCTCATATCTGAGGTTGAGCAACAGGGGCTCAGAAGAAATAGGTGAGCGACAGATGTGGGAGTGAGGCCGATTCTCTGAGAAAGCTCGTTTTAGACACTAGCTCTCCGAGAAGGGAATTCAGTACAGCCAGGGTTTGTTTTGTTGTGTTTGTGGATATGTGTCACAACCAGCCTGCCCCCGTGCCCACCGAGCGGGAGGTGTGACCCCTGCACATTTGCGTTTCTATGGGCTGGCTCAGATTGTGATGTCGATTGTTCAGGGGGGCCTTGGCGATGATGCCAAGGGTGGTGGGCTAGTTTCCTGGAGCAGCCGTCACCAATCTCCACAAACTGGTTGGCTTAAGAAGGAAACCAGAAACCATGGTTCGTTCCTTTGACTGCACTGCAGTTCTAGAAGCTAGAAGTCCAAAGTCAAGACGTATACAAGGTCATGCTCCCCTCAGAGGCTCTCAGAAGATCTTTCCTTACCTCATCCCAGCTACTGGTGGGAGCTGGCAATCTGTGGTGTCCCTTGGCTTGCAGCCACATTACGCCCATCTCTGCTCTGTGTTCACGTGGCCTTCTTCCCTGTGTGTGTGTGTGTCTGTCTCCTCTTATGAGCCACCAGCCATTGCATTAGAGCCCACCCTAATCCAGGATGACCTCATCTTAACAAAATATATTGGCAAGCACCCTATGTCCATTCTTAGATTCTGGTGGATATGACTTGGGGCTGGTGGCTCTGAATTTGAGGGTGGGGAGGACAGGATTCAGCCCAGGGCAGCGCGGGGGTGGGGGCAGGGATTGCTTTGTCTTTATTTCACTTTCTCAGCCATCTGCTATGTGCAAGGGCGTTTTAAGTCCGGAAGGATGGGCAGTGCCATTCATAGTTCCTGGGAACTCCCAGGCTTCTCTAGAGGAGATGACAAGTGACCTGGGCCACAGAATTACTATGTGGTCTCAGTTTCCCCCACTTGTGGCATGGAGGGATTAGCCCAGCTGATGCCCTCGAGAGCCTGTAGACAGCAGGGGGTTATGCCACTCGGGTGCACACATGGGTGCCGATACTAGGGGATCGGGATTCCCACCTTCTTGACCGGGATGGGGGCTCTGAGAGGGATGCTTCCAGAGTCACACAACAGTTAAGGAAGTTGCAGATGTGGGCTTCAGACCAACCTCTGGTTTCAAGCCACTGTGTGATTGCAAGGCCTTACCCCTTATCAGGGCCTTGTTCTCATCCTCTGGGAGCAGATACAGAGAGGACAGGGAGCCCGGTGGCGGGATGGCCGCAGGGATGGACGGGTCAGGCAGGAGGCACCGTTGCTGGCATGCAGGTGCATCTGGTGCTCTCTGTCTCTAACCGGTGCCTCTTCTCTCCCTCTATCTCTCTCTCTTTCCCCCCAGTGCCCTCAGCCAGCATGACCCGCCTGATGCGCTCCCGCACGGCCTCTGGCTCCAGCGTCACATCCCTGGAGGGTGCCCGCAGCCGCTCCCACACCAGCGAGGGCGCCCGCAGCCGCTCCCACACCAGTGAGGGTGCTCGCCTGGACATCACCCCCAACTCTGGAGCCACCGGCAACAATGCCGGGCCCAAGTCCATGGAGGTGTCCTGCTAGACGGCCTGCACCTTGGCCGCCCCTGGACTCTGGGCTCACGCAGCTGCCCTTCCTCCGGCCCTTCCTGCCCCCGCCTGCCACACCACACATAACTCGTATTAACCCAAAGCTTATGGTGTAAGAGAGCTCTGGGGGGGACACACTTAGACTGGGTTTGTCAGGGGCACCTTTCCCAGCAGGGCAAGGTGGGCGGACCAAAGGAAAAGAAGCATCTCGGTGTCCTGTGCTGGTTGACACGTGGCCCACTGGACCACCCTCTTACCCTCCCTCAGAGACATCAAACTGCCAAAAACAAGACCCGCCGCCCTAAACACTTCCTAAGCCCAGGCCTAGGCTGACCCCGGCATCCTGGTCCTAGAGGGTGTTGTGTTGGGAGCCCAGCCTCTCTACTTCCTGTTTTCCTCTCCAACTAAAGAAGTGACCCAGTTTCTGGAAACAGAATCTGTTCTGATTTGGGGAGGGGGAGACCTGCGGGTTGGGGGCAGCTCCTTTAGCTCCGCGGCACGGAGAGCGGGGTGCAGGTGGAATTTATGTGGAGGCTAGACTGCCTGGGAAACCAAATCTGTATAGTTGAGTTGACCCGAAGACGTAGATTTTTCAAGTTCGCATATATAGCCACTTTTTAATGCCGAAACACACGAGCCTATTTTTTTCTGGCGTCCTTCCAATGGACAGTGAAAGCGGGCAGCAAATTCTCCAGGCTTTCCAGAGATGCAGCCTCAGCCAACGTTGGTTATCGTGGCCTTCGAGCCTTGGGCTCTGCAGGCTGTCTCCTCCTCCACGGCCCCGACTTTCTACCCCAAAGACGTGAGCGATGATTCTGTTCATGGGGAAGACCACTGAGGTCCCTGCTTGCTGGCTTTGCAACGGAGGGAAACATTCCAAGCAGCTGCACCTGGCTGTGATGAGTCTCCTTGCAGTGGGGGTGGGGGGTGGGGTGGGGGACCGGGAGTGGGTGGGGGTGGCGGGTTATCTGGGCTATTCGATGTAAGGGATTTCTGTGGTTGTGATGGGATCCAGTGCAGTCGTGATTTCAGTCCATCCTGAAATTCCGGGTTCCCAGGAATCTTGTGTGATTGAGTTAAATCCAGCTTCCGATCTTTGACAAGCGGGGTCGAATCTGAACTTGACGGCCGAACGTTTCTGACCCGGTAACGTCGCTGGATCTCTGGGTAGAACTGTTCGCTCTTGCAGGGGGGCGTGGGGGACTCCCACGGGGAGCGTTGGCTGAGAAGATGAAAGGATTCTGGAATATCCCACGGGATTTCCTTCCCTCTCCTGCCTGCCTTCCCCTCTTCCCTGCCCCTCTAACCTTTTGCTGAGTGGGGCGGCACCACTGACATTTCTGGGCAACGTCGGCGTCGCTGTCAAGTTCCTGTACTACTGGCTTTTGATTTTCATTTTGGCTAACCATGGATCTTCTTATAGGAAGTTTGATCTGAGGGGATGAATCATTGTGAAGATCAGCCGCTGGGGCCTGGTGCTTTCCGGGACCCTCGAGTTGGGAGGAGGACGTAGTCATGGCTTCCAGGTAGCTGAAGGGGCAGTGACTCAGTTGACTGCTCCTACCACCTGGACGCCTCCCCTGACCCGTGCCGAAGGGTCAGGGGTCAGGGCAGGAGTGGCTGAATCGAGACAGGAAAACTGTGTGTACAAGTCTTTCCAGAGAAGTTTCTTAATCAGATATTTGTATTTATTTCCAGACCAATAAATTTGTAACTTTGCAGTGGCTTGTGTCTTTTTCCTCCGAGGGACCGTGCATGCAGCCCCCACAGTCGAGGGAGGGGTCCTTCCTTACCTGGGCCTCCTGACACCTGCCTTAGAGCACCCCTGTCCCCTGGGAATATGATATGAGCCACCGATGTGAGTCTTCTAACGGCAGTATTTAATTAATTAATTAATTAATTTTAAAAAAGATTTTATGTATTTATTTATTCATGAGAGACACAGAGAGAAAGAGGCAGAGACACAGGCAGAGGGAGAAGCAGGCTCCATGTAGGGAGCCCGACACGGACTCGATCCCAGGACTCCAGGATCACATCCTGGGCTGAAGGCGGCACTAAACCGCTGAGCCACCGGGGCTGCCCTAACAGCAGTATTTTAAAAGGTAGAAATGACATTCATTTTAATAATCTATCTCCCTTCACCCAACATATCCAAAATATCACCGCTTCAACATAGAATCAATGTCACAGCTATTAAGATAATTCATCTTCTTTTCTTTATGCAAAGAACACCAGTGAGTATTTCACACCAAGGCGTGTAAAAATAGGCCTGGGCAGCACTTGGGCAGCAGAGTGACAGGGTTAAAGCGTTTCAACCTGTATTTAGAAGGAAATATCTTTTTTTTTTTTTTACATTTTACTTTTATTACAGGAAAGCATGTGATAAAACCACTCCCTTTCTCACACCCAGTAGCAACCACTACGGTGCAGGTTTCTACTGTACTGAAAATAAGATGTAAACATGGCATGTTTTAGTACGACCTCCTAGGATTTCTATTTGGGCCTCCTAGGATTAGTTCAAAATGTAGAGAACAACTGCCAAGAGTTTCTCCTATTAGGACTATCTCACGTCGCTATGGTGTGCTTGGTCACAAGAAGGGGTGAACATCGGTCCATGACTACTAACTAAGCTCCCTACTTTATGAGAATATCACTAGTTTGTCCCAGGGTCCCATCCAAGATGCCACATTATGCGTGGTCCTCATGTCTCAACTTCTCTGGCCTATAACGATGTCTCCAACTTTTCTTGCTTTTGATGACAAGTTTTGGGAAGCACTAGTCTGGCCTTTTGTAGGATGTCCCCCAATTGAGGTTTCGACGATCCTTACCTCATGGCTCAACTGGCATGATGGGTTTTTGGAAGAAAGATCACAGAGGGGAAGTGCCGTGCCCTCAGCAAGATGGGTCATCGGGAGTTGCCGCGGGTGCGGTTGACCTTGATCACCTGGCTGGGGCAGGGATTGCCGGGGTTCTCCACCGCCCTGTTACTTTTTCCACTTTCCCCCACTTGTTCTTTGGAAGGAAGTCACTAAATGCAGCCCCCCACTCAAGCCTGCCCTCCGTTTTAAATAACTCCCATGCTGTTATTTATATTGGATTTTCTTCGCTTACACGGAAGAGTTTCTTAGAGCGTGGAATTCGCTGTAACACTTGGGAGTCTGCATTATGGTGCGGCGAGTGGATCTGCTGCAGTTTCAGACATAGATTTGGAAAGGCAAGGGGGGGTGAGCACAGCACAGAAGGGTAAGAAGACCTTCCTAGCCACGGGGCCAGTGTGGACTCCGGTGCGGAGGAGGGATGATGTGCACCTTTGTGAGGAGCCTGTAGTATAGACGGGGCGGGTGACCCTGAGTGCTAGGACTGGCAGGCAGTGAGGCAGGAAGTTTTATATGTGTAAAATAAAATACCTATGATTACAAAAAACCCTACTTAGAGTGACACGTAATTATCCTAATGTTCCAACTGTGTGACGTAATAGCTTGTGCCTCTTTTTTAAGTTGGATAACATCGAGGCAGATCTCACCGTAACTTCAAGGTAGTGATAAGCATCCGAATATTTGGAGATGTCTGAATATCTGGTGATTTCAACTGGTGATAGTGGGGTGTGTCGCCTGCAGTTTAAACGGAAGGGTACGCTAAACAGCAATTTGACATCAGTAAACACAAAGATTCGTTTTACCCTCATCCCAGTAGGCAGGCCCTGAATTCTAAACATGGACCACTGGTTGGAGGACCCCAGGTTAGGGAGGCCTGCTTTAGATGCAGGAGGAGGAGCTTTTCCCACAGTCACTAGCAAGCACCTTTTCTGTGTCAGGAGCTGTGTGGGGTGCAGAACAAAGGGCACGTGATGAAGAGGCAGGAAGCAAGCAACCGTTGCAATGGGTGCATACAGCAGCTTTGGGAGTGGAGGTGTGGCAGATGCCCACTGGACCTGCCATGCTTAGCTCCTTGGGGCTCGGGCTTCCACCAGACTTACAGGTGTTTGCATGCACCAGGTGCTACTGAGAGTTAGAGTACCCAGAGGCGTTCTGTTCTCCTAACTGCTTGTTTCGGTTTCTGTCCCCTGACCCTTGAGTTTCAGTGGTAATCTGGAGAGCAAGCATGGCCTGAGATGAACCATGTGCAGGGCCTGTCGTGACAGCTGGGGCCTTCACATGCCGCCTTCTTCAGTGTCCCTTCCCAGACACAACCTCACTGTTTGTCATCAGATTGGTCCCTTGATGTAGCCTCCCTAATCCATCTGGATACATACTTGTCTTAGGCTACTTAGGCTACATGGAAATCCTTCAACCGTGTCCCACGTGGAACCCAAGGGCAGAAGGGAAAACTTGGCCTTGTGATGTTGGAGACCAGATGAGGGAGGGGACCTGGGGAGTACATCAACTTTGTCCTTTCCAAGGCTGGATTTCTCTGTATCTCAAAGCATGAAGCGGTGGTCTGAACCCAAAGGCTATGACCTTCAGGGTCTTGGACATGGAACCAATCAGGTCTTTGTGTCTCCTAAGGGAAAGAATATCACTGACTCAGCTTCACTTAGGTGTTCACTTGCTGTCTAATCAACTACAACTGGGTTCCCCCCCCCCCACCACATAAGTGCATCAGGGGCTCCAAGCAATTGATGTAGTGGTAACAGTGATTGTGTCCTCTGCATGGTTAAATTCATTTGACAGCCGAACTCATTGTTGCAGGATAGACTCTTCCTCACCCCTGCTCTGAGAAGTGTTTTCTTAATGCCCCACCCTCTGCAGGAAACACCTGCCATGTGACAAGGGTGTCCTGCAGAGCCAGGCCCAGTAGTACCTGCAGTATTTGCAATGTGGATTACCTTAGGCATTTTTTTCTCTGACACCAGCATTTCTTTTGTATCCCCAGGGCCACCACAGATGCCCAGCACATAACAGGAGGTTTTTGTTAAATAGATAAACACTTCCTGGGACGCCTGGGTGGCTCAGTGGTTGAGCATCTGCCTTTGGCTCAGGTCATGATCCCTGGGTCCTGGGATCAAGTTCCACATCAGGCTCCCTGCAGGGAACCTGTTTCTCCCTCTGCCTGTGTCTCTGCCTCTCTCTTGGTGTTTCTCATGAATAAATAAATTTAAAAATCTTAAAAAAATAAACACTTCCTCTAATAAGAGTAATATTTAACAATCTTCCTGTTTCTTGCCCCCTTTATATTCTTTATCTGTGAGGATGAGTTATCCTTGCTTCGCAGATAAGAAAGTCAAGGCTCAGAGATATTCAATGGCTTGTCCAGTCATTTCTAAAATAGACCACGTCCCTTGCTGCCTTTTAAAACAGTTCACTGAGCAATGCAACCACTTATTGATGTCTTGGGATTGAAGCTACAAATGCCCTTAAGGCTTTTATTGCTTGTGGGAATGTTTGTCTCTGTTAAATAGTCCCGCCCAGCCTCAGGCGACCTATGTTTTACTGTATCTTCTATCTGGGATTTAATTCTTCTGTATCCTCCCCTAGCCGACTAATGTTTCCTCATTGCTATCAATAAGCCTGCTTTTAGCTGCTTCCTCTCCCTTTAGATGGGACGGACCAAGAAATCCACTTTGTTAGTATTGTGTGAAAACCAAGAGTAGTCCAGTTTAGCACGGAAATCTGGAAACATTCTTTGCAGAATATAATACATCAAAACATACACGGGCTTGGTACCAGCTTTTTCATCTTCTAGGAAGTCATTTTCAGTCAGTTCTATATTGGGAAAGAGTCCATATTCAGCTGGATCTTAGGCTTCTGAATATGTAGGATGCTTTGGCATTTTCATTTCATCAGGGAGGGGATTGGGAACGTTGGCATGTCTGCCATATGCTTTTTTACCTGCATAGTAAAGTGCTCTGGTCATTTCCCCCAAATCCTATTTTCCCCAAATTTCACCCACCTGTTATCATCAGAAATCTCTCCCAAAATCTACACATTTTTCTTACTCTGGGGCATTTATAGGACTCCACGATCTAACTTCCAGTTTTGAAAAAGCTATGCTTCAGGATAGAAGTGTTCTTGGAAAGAATTCATGTGGCAATTATACTTTTATTGGAATTGACTCGCCCCCGACTTTATTATAATAGCATAATGTGTTTGCGGGGTAGTGGATGAGGGGGATTTGACCAGAAGGCATCAAACATGTTTTTCACTCCATGCATTTAGCCATATGCACATCTGTTTACTTAGTCGAGTATGTGCTATGTGCTGCACTGGGTTTGAGAGACAGAAAAGTATGGCACCTTTCTTGCCTTAGAGAAGCAGGGTGTTTAATCAAATTATAGCATGTAGCAAAGACATAAAATAAAAAATTTAAGGGATTAAGTAGCATATGATTAAAGTAAAAAAGCATTCAACTGAACATTGATGACACTTTTTCTTTATATTTGCTGCTGTGAAATAATAATCTAAATAAGTAAAATATACTGACACATATGCAGACTCCAATTTTTACTATACTGCTGCTGATTATCCTCCATTCATAAGGACGCTGAAAATCAACCAGTAATAACTGGTTTTGTTAAGCACTGGCGGTGTGCCAAGCTCTGTTGTAGAATTTTGCACGCCATCTGCATTTTACTCATCCCATCATCACCACCACCAAATAGATATTATCATTTTCTGCAATTCACAGCTGAGGAAATTGAGGCTCTGATGAGTTCAGGGAGGAATTCCAGTAAGGAATAGAGTATAAAAAGATCCACTTGACTCCCAAAGTCAGAGCCGTTTCCATTTTATCCCACAACCTTCCTTACACTCCTCTCTATTCCCACTGTTTCCTAAGGGAGCTGGTAATAGATACCCACCGTATCCATCGCCGGATGCTTATCCAGCCCCTGTCATGTGCCAAACACTCTGCTGGGCCCAGGGCATGCAGTCATATTCCCTGACCTCAAGGTATCCACAGTCTAGCTGGAGACGGAGGAAGGAATTGAATCAGTGGGTGAATGAACCAACAAATGCATGAATGCTAAAGTCTCCATTTTATATTTATGGGCGGTGTCTCCCAGCCTGGACCCACTTGTAGTGCTGATCTTCTGTGAATCCCAGAATTCATACTTCTGAGCTCATCTCCACACTCCTAGCTATTTTTATTACCGTACGTAAAATATCTAGGGCCTACTTTCCACCATCTGCACATTGATTGTATGTACTCAACGCCCCATCATTGCGCATCATGACTGAATGTGCGAGAAAATCCACCAAATCCAGGGAGTGATTTTGCTGATGATTTATTGCTTGAAGGAGAAAAGCATAAACAGGGAATCTGAGCAATGAAAATCCTTCACATTGAACAAACATGGTCTGCACCACGCAAATCATGAGAAAAATGAGGGATGTTGTAAAACACGACAGATTGCCCAAGTGCTCTTTTCCCTCTATTGGGAAATTCCAAGACATTCCTTCTTTTGTATTTTTTTAGTCACTTGCAAAAATGGCGGTAGGAATACTTAAATAGGAAGTCACAGTCTGAAAGTAGATATAGACACACACACACACACACACACATACACATACACATACACACACATATACGTATATGTGCAGAGATACACAGTTGACCATTCCAACCATTCATGAGTCCCAGCTGTGCAGGCTTATTGCAGTTACTTTGGATCAAGATAAGTCTTTTAAAAATCAGTGACCTAATTTGATATAATAGAGGCTACATTGCTTCCCCATTATCTCTAACACAGTACAATGTTAATGAAATTATATCAATCATGTCATTCAAATGTGCCTTCTTTGCTCACTCTCTGAATCACTTTGAAATTAACGTTGCAGTTAGTTTATTGTTATTGTTATTGTTTTGTTGTCAGTAAAGCATCTCTTGTACCTTTTGATTGAGGGGGGCATGTTGACTGGGCTTAGTGTCAGGAAAGATGGCTCAGGCGTAAGACTGACCCTGGTTTGCAATCCTGGTCTGCAGTTCACTAGCTGGTAAGACACTGAGCAAATAACCTCACCAAGCCCCAGGGTCTTATCTCTAAAACGGGGAAATGATTATAATGCCATATCTCACAGGCTTGCTATGAGGAATAAATAAGACACAGCAGTGAAGCACCTAGCTCTGGCCTGGCACTCAGTGATGCTGCCGAAATGCTGAGGGTAAAGGTGCAACAAGAAGCAGTGGTTTGGTGAATGCGGGTTTCCTCTCTCTCCCCATCTAAGCCCGCCAGAGAAATTTCACTCTCAGCACTAACGTGAATTTCTTCACCAAAGGTTAACAAATCTTTGGCATATCTTTCCCTCATCTGGGAACATGGAGTTACAGAGGCCTGGAGAGACCATCGATCTCATCTACTCGGTGCCTCTGCCAAGGAGACACTCTGTTGGGGGTCATTCAGGCTCTGCCTGGAGGCCTCCCCAAGAACAAGGCCCAGTGAAGTAAGCTGGGATTTGGGCTCCGACTTGTTTGGGCTCATTTCTGAGCCTCTTTGAATCTCAAAGCTTTCCACATGCGAAATGGGGATGAGAGGCTTATTCACAGTTGTTGTGATGATTAATAAGATGGTTTAAAAGTTAGCAAACAGGATGACACCAATCAATAAAGGGACATTTTTGGGACGCCTGGGTGGCTAAGCAGGTTAAGTGTCTGCCTTTGGCTCAAGGCGTGGTCCCGGGGTCCTGGGATGGAGTCCCATATTGGGCTCCCTGTGAGGACCCTGCTTCTCCCTCTGCCTGTGTCTCTGCCTCTCTCTCTCTGTGTCTCTCATGAGTAAATAAATAAAATCTTTTAAAGAAGTAATAAAGGGACATTTTTGCCTTGTGATTATTATTCTTAACTTTTACAGAAGTAGAGTCACACCACTGCAGAGTGATTGTGGCTGCTAGAAAGATCTTCCTTACATTGGTCCCAAACCGCCTGCCCCTTGACTTCAAAACATGGAGCTAAGACTTCCCCTGCAAAGGACAGGTCCCTTTCTCAAAACGAATACCAACTGGGACCACCCCGGCCCAGTCACTCCTAGGGTAATCCCAGATTCCTCCCACCCGGCTTCCTAGGATCTTGGAAGCTATGCTTCCAAATTGGGATGCAAACTCAGTAAGAACTCAGGAGCTCCTGGGTTTCTGCTGAATATCAAATGCAGTTAGCTGTCATCTGGTCCTCGTCATTTATAGACTTCAGGTAATTTCACTTCTAGGAAATCTAACATAGATCCACACACGGGCTTATAGGAGAGCCTATTCTTGGGCTGAATGCTCTTTACACAGGAATTTTTTTTCAATGAAAATATACATTTCTTTAAATATTAAATGTCTCATTCCCTATGGCACTTGGCTGATGAGAATTAGATTGGCACCTATCTTTGGAAGAAGAGCACCTCTGAGTAAAAGTAGGAAACCATACACAGCTTCTTTTATTCATCAAACACATGTTGAGCACCACTGTATGCCTTGTTCTGGGCCAGACACATGGGAGGATATAGTCAGGAGGGCACATTTCCAGTCCTCTTGTCCTATTCTAGAATCCCTTTGCACACCACACAGAATTCCCCCAGGAAGAGCCTGAGCATCCCTCATCTGCAGCGTTGGGTAGACAAAAATCATCTTTTAAATGCACGATGAGAGCTGCTTCTGATTTGAGGGAGGGGAGGATCCACAGGAGATTCGTGGGTTTTTGTCTAACCCATATATTTCTGGATGCTGGGGCACGTAAATTATCTGAAAGTCAGATCCTCTTCTCTTGGGAAAGGAGCCAGAGACACAGTAAAAAGGGTGACAAACAAGAGTGGGAAGTCAGTTGTGCGACATTATTTTCCTGCTTGACACGTTTGGAAGCTCTAAGAGTAGGGACCATACAGTGGGTTAGAAAGTCAGCCCAACTTGGGTTAGAATCCCCACTTGCCCGGTCACCAGCCGAGTGGCTTTGGTCAAGGCTCCATACTGCTCTGAGCTTCCATCGCACATTTGTAAGAACAGAAGTAATAACAGGTGCTTTTCAACATGATTGCAACGTTTCTCCATGAGCTAATGCATGTAAAGTACTGAGAATGATGTCTGGTACACAAAAGGTACTAAATAAAAGAATTACAACAGTAAATATTTATATGCTACTAATAAGATAAATAATAGCCTCATTTCCACTCATCACAACTTTCTGTTCCTTTTAGGCTCCAACCCCTTTTGTCTTTTAATCCTGTTAAATATGTTTCTGTTTCTAAACAACTGGTGAACCTCTGTCTTCACACCAGAACTGGGTCGACTGGGTCGACAGACCTGAAGTCTGTAGAAAGGGTCCGAGGTGTCCTGGGCCTGGGATGTGACCCGACCCTGCTGCCCCAGGGTGATGCCGAGTGGATCCACTTCTTGGTTTGACACACATACAACCTGCAACCTGGTTCGTTATTTCAAGTGGGTCTGGCCCGACAACAGCTGGGTCTCCAAAGGCTCTGCGAGAGCAGAGGAATGTCCCTGGATGCCATGCTCCGGGGTCAGAGGGACCATCCTAGGGTCTTCACCAACTCCCACGAACCCCCAAGCAGGGGAAGGATCTGGATGAGCGGCAGAGCTGGCCAGTGGCCGGGTGTCCTGTAGGCCAGCAGCAGACCCATGCTAGGGTCCCTCACTTCTTCTGAAATTTGGCTGACCCTGCTCTGACCCTGGAGTATTGACAGGAAGCTTTTCCCACGAATAAGAATGAAAGTTATCAAATTGCATTTGTGAGCGGAACAAACTCAATTTGTGCCTTTTATAGTACAGGGATGAACCACGAAGCCTGGGCTAATGAACACAATTTTCTACCAAAAATCAAAACTAGGCAACCATTCACCTCACTTGGCAAGTATTTGGTGACCTTAGGGTGCATAGATCCTTGGAATCAGAGATGCTTGGGTGTGCTGTGGTCAGAACTGTCAATTAGCATGTCCCTTGGCACGGCCCAGACTGTTCCAGTATCCTAGACCCATATGTCCTTCTGAATGGAGCCGAAGAGTCTTGTGGTTTGGCATCTAGAACGAGAATGAGTGATACTAAAGGCCTAGCTGATTCTGCTCCTCGGGACTCAGGTGACATCCAGCAGGATTTCCAGTGACTTGGACAGGCGTGGGTTTTGTCCAGAGCAGCTGGAGACAAGCACTTTCTCCGGAGCATATGCAGAATGCTGCTAAGGTGGGGCCTCATAGTCTGGGCCCCAGCAGCACCGTAATGAGTCATTCGGGGGGGTTGGAGACAGGACAGGGGGCCAAGGATCTGGATCAGAATGGTTAGAAGTCAGTGTAAAGTGGACAGAGAAGGCTCAGCAGTGGGCCTCGGAGGACTGGCTGCTTTGCAAACGCTGGGCCAGGCCCCACGCCCTGTGTTTTGTGCCTGCCTAATCGGCAATTTCTGAGAAGTCAGGGTAGGATTCTAGGTCAGCAAAGATATCGTTGGGATTCCTACAACTCAGGTTGCAAAAGCAAGCATTAATCCACAGGATCTGGCGGGAGAAGCCAGGCCCATCGGGACACTGGAAGGAGACATCGATGGTCTTGGACTTGTAGGGGATGCAGCACCTGTCGTCCACGCAGACCCCGCAGTACTTTGGCCGGTAGGAGCGCGTGCTGCTGCAGCCGGCGAGGGTGAAGTTCATGGGTGCCTCTGGCTGGTACACGGCCAAACACTTCTTCCCTTCCTGCGGGAGAGGAGGTTTCAGTTTGGATGCTCAGAGGGTGAACAGCCACCTCCCCTCCCTCCAAGCCCTCAATTCTCCCTTTGCACTCACCATGCGAGACCACCCCAACTTTCCTTCAGGGCGGCAGCATCTTCAAGCTTGGAGGGAGCTCCCCAAACATGGTGCTCCCCAGCCACACTACGGAGGAGTAATTGTGGACCTCACAGGGCACTGCCCTGCCTAGGTGGTTCCTCGCACCCCGCAATGTCCTCTTGCCTACATTTTCTGCCTTGACAATGCCCGGGCCTCTGTCCCAGTCTTACCAACACAGATGCATGGGTGGCTTCTCCAGTCCACCAAGCGTCCCAGCTAGTGAGTGGCACAGCCATGATGGGGCTCCATGATTGGGAGATGTGCCTTCCCTAACCTGCTCCTCCTTCTCCACCTCCCCTCACCCCAAAACCTCTCACACTCACCCTCCTCATGCAACTTGTTCAATCAGAGTGCATTCTGTAGAGCTAGCTCTGTCTCTCCAGGAGGATACAGGCCCGTCAAGAGCAAGGCCCTTTCTGCAACTCTACAGTCTTTCTGTGCCTGGTACACAGTAGGCACTCACTAAACCCATTGCTCAAATGGCTCTACTATGTACTGGTGCCACCAGCACTGGGGGTAGAGCAGATCCAGGCTACATGGGGGCCTGAGGCTCAAACAGGTTGAGGAGCCAGCTCAGGTTCATGAAAACAAACCCAACATTGGAGTGGGAAGCATAGGCCAACAGCCAGGACTTGAGTTGGCTTTGAGGTAGACCCACATCTACCTCGGGTGTCCCGGGCATTCACCCGGCTTAGGACCCTTTTGCTCCTATTTCTCCCACTGCTGGGGACTTTTCCATCCACGCTCTCACATCCGCACCAAGCACCAAGAGGGCCAGCACAGCAGAGGTCACTGATCAGAGGGGGAGCCGAAGAGAGAAGGGAAGAAGGAGAAGGAGGAGGTGGAAGGATCCAGTTGGCTGGGACAGAGATACTCGAAGAAGGGGCAGGGGACAGCAAGTGAGGAGGACTCGTGGGAAGCTGAGATGTCTTGTCTACCAGGCACCCCTCTCCTCAGCAACCCCAAGAAACCATCAGTGCTCCAAAAATGGAGTCAGCACTGAGTTTGTCTTTTCTTTTCTGTGCAAAGCATATGACCGGTCCTGAGACAGAAGCAAGGGGGCCTTGAGACAGGCAACTCGGACCCATTTCTGACTATGATATGCTGGATCCTCTGTTTTATGGCCTTGGACTCTCCGAAGTCGGAGGAGATGTCTGAGACCCAACCCACGTTTTACCGATGGGGGGCCTGGGGCTCAGAGATGTGGAGATTGGCCACTGTCCTGTGCAGTCAGTGGCAGTTGGGCTTTTGACCCCAGCTGTCCTGAGCCCTGTTTAGAGCTCCCCGACTGACCAGCGCATCTGTGACCTCTGTACCTGTGGGTGTGGATGGGGACAGGAGCAGACGGGGGTGACAGTTGGCGGGGGGGGGGTCCCTCAGCATCACCACAGGAGAGCACTTCGTCCCATTTTACAAATGGCCCCAACGGGGACATTCAGGGACCAGGTTTCAAGCTGGGCCTGTCCGTCGGTAAGTCCAACATGCCTACCCCACCCCGGAAGGCGGACCGACCTTGATGTGTAGACGGATGTCCACGTCACAGGGCCGCAGGTTGCAGAGGCGGCTCTCTTGCTCAGGCCAGCACCGGCTGTTGGCGTTGGAGATACGCGTAGAGACCCCCAGGCCGCAGGTGGTGGAGCAGGGGCTCCAGGGGCTCGTGTAGGCGATGCAGTTCCTGTGCCAGGGCTCCACCTCACCTGTGGCCGCTGTGGATCGGGACCAGACTCCCCGTGAGTTTCCAGCCATTGTCAGCCACTCTCTTCCCCACCTTCAGCACACACAGGGTCAGGGATCCTGAAGCCCCAAGAGGAGGCAGGTGGGCTGTCCCCATCCCCAAAAGGGCAGGTTAGCTTCTAAGCAGCATGGGTTCCCCAGGGAGAGGAGGCCTCTACTTCTCCAGAGGAAAGACCATCTTTACAGAGAGGTGGACCTGAGTGCAAATCCTGCTCGACCACCTATAAGCTGTATGGTTCCAGATAACTCCCTCCTGGGCCTCAGTGTCCTTGCTGGAATGAAACATCTGTCTTCCACGGCTGGTGTGACAATGAAAGGACCTGTTTATTGAGTATATAACAGGCATCTGCAAAGGTGCTGGGATTTGAAGAGGGGAAGGTACTGTCCCTGCCCCTGTAGAGCTCAAGTTTATTTGGAGAAAATCCGAGGGAGTGTCTATATTCTAGTAACTGATACCTAACCTGGGTGATGCTGAGGGCTTGATGGTTAAGGACACACACAGGCTTTAGGGTCATGTCGCCTGGGCTCAACTCTGAGCACCACCATTTAGTAGTTGGGCAACTTCCAATGGCCCCCAGCTCCATGCCTCAGTCTTCCCACCTGCAAGGGGGGTTGGCAAGAGCATCTCCCTCTGAGGGCTGTGGATGGAAGAGATGGGTTCACGCACATGAAAGCCACAAGCCATCCCTGGTGCTTAGTAAGTTCTCGGGCCTTGCATGGTTTCTTGACCGTCAACTAAGCACCAAGTCTTGGATGGTTCTATTACTAGACATGTCCCAGCTTCTAGAATGTGGTGAGTGCTCAAGTATTCTCTGAGTAATGGAAACATGGATGGAGCTACAGACAGAAGCAGGTAAAAAGCCAGTAAGACAAGGGACAGATCCCACAGAAAGATGGCACAAGACACCTAAGGGAAGGATCCGAACAGGACACCAGGCCTACCCTGACACACATGCACACATGCATGCAGGCAGGCAGGCCGGCAGGCGCACCTGGGAGACAGAGAAAGGAAGAGGGGGAGAGGAGGAGAAACAGATGGTAGGGCATGGGAGAAGGAAGGGGGGGCAGGGAAGTAATGGGGGAGGGGCAGAGAGGAGGAAAGAGTAAAGTAGGAAAGAAGAGACACCTAATAGAATCCAAAGGAAGACGGAAGGGGATGGGTCAGCGCTGGATCGCCTACGCCCCCAAGTTAGCAGGTGTGCAGGGAACAGGGGTGGATGAAGGCCAAAATGAGTGGGTGGGAGAGGGGAGCTCTGAGAGACAGGAGAAAACAGGGCAGAGGAGAGTGGGGCTGGGATGAACTGGGGGGAGGGGTGTGAGGGTGGAGGAGGGAGGGATTTGCCTAGGAGGATAAAAGGGCTTTGGTTTCTGGGTCGCCCACTCGCAGGTGGGGGCTCTGCTTGTACTGGGTCAGAATGGGGTCACTGGGCCAAGTACAATCTGAGGACAGCCACTGCCCCATCTCCCGTGACCCTCGAGTGGCTTTGCCAGTTGGGGGGTGTGGTGGACCTGCTGCCTTGGGGACAGCTTTCCTTGCCACCCCCTCCGTGGACACGGGATTGCTTCTTCATGGGGCCGGCTCAGCCCCTGGGGGCCACCCAAGTGCCTCCGGAGAGGCTGTGCACCCCTGAACTGTGGGGAGGGGCAGGACCACCTTCCTCCCTGGCCTGGGCAGACCCACTGCGGACACAGAGCCTGGGGGCAGGTCTCCTTGCACCCCCTCCTTTCCTGAAACACTTCTTCACTTGGCTTCTGCACAACCTCTTTCTCCTGCTGCCATCCTGCCTCTTGGATTCATCTTTCTCAGCTTTTTTCTCTCCCTCACCTTAAATGGTGGTGTCTCCAGGGCCACACTTGTGGCTCTCCTCCCAGTGATCTTGTTCCCCCAGGGCACAAATGGCAACATCTGGAGGTATTTTGGTTTGTTACTACTTGGAGGGCAGGTGCCACTGGCATCTAGTAGGTAAAGGCCAGGGGTGCTGCTAAACACCCCACGATGCACAGGGCAGCCCTCCCCACAGAGTCTTCTCTGGTTTGAGATGTTGCCTATACCAAGGCCGAGAAACACTGCTCTACAGGGTCTCCCTGAGCAATCTCACACACTAACAATTTAAAAAAAAATTACCAGTACCCTTAGAACTCCCAAACTCCATTGCTATCTCTACTCCTTCATGTCCACTTTCCTTCTAGAACTATCCTCATTGCTCCTGGTTTTCCTCTTCTATTCCCCACCTTCTGTCTCTGTTACCCCTCAAATGTTAGCCCTCCCAGAACTCTGTTGCACTCTACCTATCAGGCCATCCTGATAGGCCATCCTACTCACCATCAGCAGCCCCAGGTGCATGACTTCCAGACTTCTCTCTGCCCCACCTCCCCCTCCAATACTGCCCCATTGGATGCTCCTCTGAGTGATGTCAGGGCAGGGCCCCTGACCTCAAACTCAACCTGTTTCAAACAATGCAGATGTCCTTCACCCCCAGGTTGTGCTCCTCTTGTTTTCTCTCCCAGGTCATGATGAGCCCTGGAAATCACTGTCTACCCCTTTCTCTCCTTTACTCTATGCAGTGGATTAATACTATGACCTCAGTTTTACTCCTCATCCAGTGCCTCTAGCATCTGTCCCTTCCTTGCCACCTCCACTGCCACTTCCCTAGATCAGATCCTCATCGGCCCAACTACCCACCCACCTGTCCGTCCATCCATCCGCTTAGCCATCCATTTGCCCACCCATTCATCTGCCCATCCATCCATCCATCCATCCATCCATCCATCCATCCATCTACCAACCATTCATCTGCCCATCCATCATCCATCCATTGATCCATCCATCCATTCACCTGCCCATCCCTATCCACTCATCCATCTATCTGCCCATCCATTCACCTGCCCATCCATCCATCCATCCATCCATCCATCCATCCATCCATCTGCCTATCCATTGATATGACGAGCACTGATTTGGTATCTCCTAAGTGGCTGGTGTTGGGCTACTCCAGTAAGCAGTGGTAAAACAAATGGTCCTGTCCCTGTCCTCCCTTTCCAGGGCTTCGTCTGGCATGGTTTACCTGGCTATAGCCTCACCTGTCCACCTATCCTCCATACTAAGGAGGAAAGCACCTATTCCCTCTCCCACCTTGCACCTTGCTTCCCCTCCTCTGCGACCTGCACATTCACCCTTCCAGCATCTCCCCACCCCTCCCCCACTGCCTAATCCCTTAAATAGGATAACAATGAATCCCATGTATCTGGCTTTGTTCTTTATAAAGCTCTTCCTCATTTTATGTTGGGAAGACCTCATAGAACAGTTGGAGTAGATGGAGAAATAGGGTCCCTTAGGGCAGGTAGCTTTGCCGAGGTCACCAGCTAGTCGGTGGTGGTCTGGGGGTTGGGACTCATCGTATGAGGCAATCACAGAGGGTCAAGGCCCTGCCCTCCCCCCTCTCCACCCCATTCCCCACACCCACCGAGAGCACCAGTGTGGCGCTGTGCTGTCTTGCGTGGCCTCCTGGCATCGTGGTCACACACCCACTGCTGGCAGCAGCGGCCGGGGATGCTCACTCGCCGGGGGCGATGGCACCAGAGGCGTGGAGGGCGCACACGCAGGCACAGGGGTGTGCAGCCCACCGCACCGTCCACGCATGTGCAGTTGTACTTGCAATTGGGCTGGAAGGACTGGCCATTGGTGTAGCGCACCCCGTCCAGAACACAGCCCACGCCGACCACCTCTGCAAACACACGCACCGCTCGGGTCAGGCCCAGGGACACGGTGCCCGCACAGGGACACCTCCCACCTCTGGACCTGGCCCAGACCCTGGGAGCACCCACCGTGGGGGACAGGGGTGCAGGCAGGACCAAGCAGGGCCCAGCCAGTCTCTGGGAGTGTGGGGAGACTTGAGCGTGGGCAGTGTGGGAGTGTGGGGTAGAGCTCAGCCACCACCCATCAAGTGATCCCCAGGCCCAGACTGGCAGGGGTGAGAAGATAAAGCATGTTCAAGCCACTAGTCTTGTCCTACCCCCGGCACATGGCACAGAGCTCAGTACTGACAGATACCTCCAGGGCCATGGTTCTGAGAGGCCCAGCATAAAAGCAATCAGAATACTTAGGAACAAAGATTCCATTCATTTGGTACATATATTTATGGAAGGTTCTAGGCACTGGAGATTCAGTGGTGAACAAGATAGACAAAACTATGCCCTCATGGAGCTTCCATTGTGGGGGGGGGGAGCAGAGGAAAGATGAACAGATCATAGAGTGGTGAAGGATACCAGTGCCAAGGAGAACCACAAAGAGGAGGGGCTGCTGGGAGTGGGGGACAGTTGGTGATTAAGGTGGGCACCTCACCCAGCTGATGCCACTTCAGCCAAGGTGGAAGGAGGTGAGGAGGTCAGCTAGCACTGGTGTTGGGTGGTGGGGAGGGGGATCTTCCAGGAAGAGAGGGGCTGTGGGTGTAAAGGCCCAGGTGGGAGCAGGCCTGGGAAGTTGGGGGGCGATGGGAGATGAGGTGAGAGAGGGCTTCCTTGGTGGCTCAGAGGAAGGCGCAAAGCTGTTGGCACCTAGACCCACAGTGTGGGCTCAACAAGTAACTGTTGATTCAACTATAGGAATCATGCTTCCCTAGAGCATATGACATGCTGCACAGAACAGGGGGTAAGACAGTGTCAGGAGGCCACCTCCTAATGCAGGCGAAAGGTAGCCATGCTTGGAGCCTGGAGAGCCCAGGAACCCTGAGGAGGGCTCAGCTTCTGGGTATGTTTGGAAAGAACGGCTGCCTGATGGGATGTGGGAAGCAGAGGAGAGGAGTCAGGAGCGACTCTTCGTTCTATGACCTGAGCCCTGGCAGGGAAGAGATGGCTGCTCTGTCCTCAAGGGAACTGGTTTTGGGGTGAGTGGCCTCAAGAGGTCTTGAGATCAGGGAGTCACAGGAGGGATCTGAGGCTGCTGGGCCTGACCAGAGCTGGCCCCTGGGTGCCATGTCCTGCCTTGAGGACTGTCTGGAAGCGTAGGCAGAGAGCTCCCAGGCAGCAAGGGTGCCCACCCGAGGAGGGCTAGTTCGGAATCCACAGTCTGCTGATAGCTCCAGCATCTCTCCTGGATTTGCCAGCATTGATAATAATAATCCCAGCATCTAGCAGAAGTGAGGGGTCTCTAAGCACTGTCACTGTCTTTGGTCACCTGACCTGCCGGGTGCCAGACTTCCATGCATTGCTGATTTCATCCTATAGGGAAACACCATCCCATTTTCACATATAGCAAAATTTAGTCTCAGCGAAGTTAAGTCACGTGCCGAAGGCGACATAGCTGGACGCAGAGTCTCAGCCTCTGGGAATGTTGGCATGACCGCTGTTTTTCCTGGGAGGTGATCGTGCAGGGAGGAGGCGCAGAAAGGAAAGGCGCTACCGTTCACTGGCCATCTGATCTTGTGCCAGGCACCATCTGATATGTTATCTCATTCAGTTCTCCCAGTGACTTCACGAGGAGAGTTTTATTTTCCCCATTTGGCAGCAAGGGAGGTCGAGTGATTCATTAGCTCAAGGTCACCCAGCTGGTGAATGATAGAGCTGCACCTCACTCCCAGGGGATCTCACTCCACAGCCCATTTCCTTCCACCAGACACCAGTAAAGGAGGGGAAATTGGAGAAAAACAAACCGAACCAAAACAAAACAAAGCAGAGGAAGCACTGGGTGAATCACTCATCCTTTTGTCGTGAGTCACCCCCTGACCGCGCCCTTGCTCTGGGAAGGTGTGAGCACGCGTGCGTGCATGTGTGTGCGTGTGCATGCTGATGGAGGAGGAGATGAGAGTGTGCTGAAGCCTGGTGCCTCTCTGCCCCTGTGTGGGGGAACTTTGGATGGACAAGGTGGTACTGGGTGCCTGGGAGCTCTTGGGCACAGTGGCACTACATGGGGAGCTTTCAAAAATCCTGGTGCCTGCACTGTGCCCCAGAATATGGGACTGGACCCAGGACTTGGTATTTTTGTTACTATTATTTTTTTTGGCCTTTGATATTTTTTAAAGTTCCCCAGGTGAATATAGTTTGCAGCAGTGACAACCACTGCTTCTGAAACCTACTCCCAGTCTCCTGGGAGTTTGGGGCAAGTGGGGGGAACGGTGGTGGTGCTAGTGGCTCTGAGCAGCCTGGCCATCACAGGCTAGAGTGAGAGTTGGGCATATGATACGCACGATGGCTGGGCCCGCAGCAGAGTCTAACATCCCTTCCTCATTCACTTTCCAACGAATGGAAGGACTGGCTCCTGGTGAAGTTCACCATCTCCAGTCTAATCTCAAACTTCCTCTTACTGAAGGATCTGTAGGAACTCAACTCCTCAGCTCCACCATCCAGATCCTCACTTGCCTCACTCACCTCCCAATGGACTATCAGCTGTGTAGAAGCTATGACAGTGGATCATAGCCTTCTAATAGCCCAACTGTTGCATTGCCACCAATCTATTTATAGTGTGAATGAGTCAGTGGATGGAAGGATGGAAGGATGGATGGATGGATGGATGGATGGATGGATGGATGGTTGGATGGATGGGAGGTAAGCTCTCATCTGTATTAGGCTCCCACATCAGCTTCTTGGCATCCCAACCAAAGAAGTAGGTATTATTTGCCACATTTTCCTTGATGACAAAACTGACACTTAAAAGGTTAAGTAGCTTGCCCAAGGCCACCCTATTAGTTAGTTATGGGATTGGGATTCGAACTTAGATTGTCTAGTGCCAAAGACCATACATGACCTGTCTACTCCCTCCCTCTTCACACCGGGGAGTCTGAGCCTGGCAGGAGATTGGCCTCCTCCTCTGAGGATGACCGTGGACAAAGCTGAGATAATTTCTACAAGGGAAAGTTAAAACAAAGCAAGAAAACAATGACCCAGAACAGCCGGTCACATTAGAGTCGTTAATGTGGTCCCTTGTTTATTCTCTACAACTGCTTGGGGTTGGTTTGATCAAGCTCCTTAAGTGATGTGCCCAAGGTCACGTAGCCAGCAAATGGCAGAGCCAGCATTCAAAACCCAGGTTTGTCTGCCTGTAAATTGCACGATCCTTCCAGCAAACCACACTGCTCCCAGGCCTGGTCCAGCTGTATTAAATGCAGAGTAATGTTTGTACAACCAAAATAGCCAAAGAGTGTAATTCAGAGGTCACTCTCTGCCCATAGAAGTATTTAGCTTGGCCCACAGAATGTTTTGAAATACATTCTTGGAACATGTTGCCAACATTTACAAATCATACTCAAATCTGGACTTTTAGATTCTCTTGAAAACTGAGCAGAATGGCCAAGACCAAGCTTACTTTTCTGCTTGGCCATGGTGGCTGGCGCCCAGGACCTCTGGTAGCCAAAGCTTGCATTCACTAATTTGCCATAGTTCCACCTTACCCTGAGTTACGTGTGCCAGGGATGTGGCTGCTCATTTTTATGAACTGTCTTGTCTTGGCCTCATTACATACCCATCTTCAAGGACAGGTTTAACCTTTCTTGGGGGAATATCCAGTAGTTGAGTTGACCATTTGCCACAAGACTGTCTTAAGAGGGTCTCTTCTTTCCCTTTCCCCTGCTGGACCCAAGGTGCCTTCCTCTCTATGGCCATCAGACCCTAGCCTCTCCTCTTTCTTGCCTTAGGGTCTCATGAACCCAGATACCCTGGCAGCATTTCTAGGAAGATGTTTGGTAGGACACCAGTGAGTTGTGTGTTTGTGTGTATGTGTGTATGCACATATGCATGCAATGTGTGTATCTGTGAGTGTGCACATGTATGGTGGGGTGGTTGAGTGGTAAAAATCTGCCTGAACAAAACAATTCCCTGTGCAAATAAGTCTCAAAAATAAGAGCTTCTTGTGATATCTCCCATTTTGGAATTTTACGGTGGATGTGAAAATATAAACTCTCGCGGAAGTTCTATATACTTGCTTAACTTCGTTTATTCCAGGGTCTGCAAATCTATGTGACCAGGGAACCATCGGCAAGTGTAATACCTATTAACGTCTGTAGACCAGATTTCTTTCCAGATAAAAGGAAAGGGGGCAGCCTGAGTGGCTCAGCAGTTTAGTGCCACCTTCAGCCTAGGGCCTGATCCTGGAGACCTGGGATTGAGTCCCACGTCAAGCTCCCTGCATGGAGTCTGCTTCTCCCTCTGCCTGTGTCTCTGCCTCTCTCTCCTTCTGTGTCTCGCATGAATAAATAAATAAAATCTTTAAAAAAAAAAAAAAAGGAAAGGGAATACACAAAGGCTCATGGTGAGGGGAAGCTAAGAGGCTGTGGCGAGTGAAAACAGGACCCGAGATACAAAGAGATATGGGTTGTAGATGGATTGGGAAGGTGGTTTCCCAGGCCTTTGGTGGGGAAGGGCAGGCAGGAGAGGTAGTTTCAGGGCCTGCACAATCTCTGGGTTCATGAGAGAATATCTAGAAAGACATGGTGCCAGGCACATAGTAAGATGTCAGTACAGATTTAGAGATTAACTAGTATGATCACAGTGAACTGAGTTACCTTTTTAATGGCCTTGAAGAACAGCTGTAAAAGGGGAAAGAAATGATGAGACAGTCTCATATAACAAAGGGATTCTAGCATAGGAAGGCTCAGCCGGATTTCGTCACCTGGGTATGGGGAGAGATTATATGACTGCATATATATGTATGCAGTCAGTCTCAAACCTGGGTGTGTGCATGAGAATCACCTGGGAAGCTTGTTAAAGGTGTAGATACCCACCTTCACTTCTAGAGAATTTTCCTCAGTGAGTCTGGGGTGGGGCTCAAGGATAACATTTTTCACCAACACATCAGAGGACTCTATGCCGGTGGTGAGGCAAGTTCTCTTTGAGCACACTCTTTTGTGGGGCTAATAGTGAGTCTGAATAAAAGGGAAAAAATAATGGATGGCAGAGTCAAGGATGGTTACTTGGAAAGCTAAAGACAGTCTTGGTAGGAAAGTTGAAGCATGAATCAATCATTAAAGAGCAGAAAAGTGCTTATGATTAACTGTGAGACACAGGTAGGATTGTCTGACTTGGAATTATGGTCATAACCCTCATCAACCACCCACCTCAGGAGACATAATAGGCCAGCTGAGGATAAGAGACGATGCTCTGTGTGAACACGTCATTGGGTGCATATGGAGTCATAGTTATGGAGAAGTCTTGTCTCAGCACTAGGGGAAGAAAGGCGTTGTTGGGTTTATGAGGCTTTGTGTACTTTTTCAGGAGTTGGGCTGCTGTGTCATGATGCCTAGTTACCTCTCTTTATCATGCTGGGTCATGTATTTTGGGTAAATGCTTAGACGATTCAAGCAAAGTGACTACCATTCCAGATAGAAACACGAGATCAGAAAACCCCTGAAAGGAAGTCTCTGGGAACAAAAAAAGGACATGATAAGGCTCTTGAAGAGCAAAGAAATAACAATAGTTGTCCCCCCCAAGCATGAGGATATTATAAAGACTAAGAGTAAAGAAAAAGCAAAGGCAATTGGAACCCCTGGAAAAACAAAAAGCTTCATGAGAAAGAAAATTCAAAAATACTATCTGATGCTTCAGCAACATTATTTGCATAGTCATAATATTTTAAGTACTGATTATTGTATAACAAAAGAATTATGAAAATAATATTGCAAGTTAGGTGATGTGTCCAGTGGTATTGAGGAGTTAGGTCATCGGCTGTCATATAGGAATATTGATAGATAAAATTGATATTTTAAGCCAATCAAGTTATATTAGGAGACATATATTATACAGTGATAACTACGAGAAGAAAGGGCTAAAAAAAGTGTCTGTGGTAACTAAAGGAACATAGGTGTGTAGAAAGGGATGATTGTAGCCTGCTGATTTTATTCTTTTAAGGTTACTGGATTTAAAAAAAAAAACTATATTATTTAAATTTAGAATATTACTAAAATATCTGGAGTTCGATGAGTTTTGGTGCCCCTGAAAGGCATAGGCATCCACGCTTAGAATGAATCCGTGCTTGGGTCTTTCCCCAGTCCCTTTTCCCCAGTCAACCATGGATATGCCTCCAGGACGGAGAAGAGAGCAGGAAGCCAGGCTCTGGAGGCAAGAAGAATGTAGGTATCCCTCCCTCTTCGGGAAGGTCTCAGCTTCTGACCTGTTCTCATGGACTGGAGTAGGGGAGGGGCAGGAGACCGGCCAGGGGAAGGGCTATGGGTGAGGGCTGGAGCTAGAGGTGTGGGGGCTGGCCAGAAGGTAGGGAGGGTCTCACTTACGTGCACACACTCCTATTGCGTACCTCGGGCGGTCCCCACTGTAATCGCAGTAGAGGCCCCGGTGGGGGTCACAGATGGCTGCCTCTGTGCAGTTGTCCCCCAGCTGCTGAGCACACATTTTACAGCATTCACAGCCGTCTGTGATGAGGCTGACCCCCAGCGGGCAGCGGGGTGGGGACGGCGGGCACTCACACGGCCACTTGCAGAATTGGGGGCGTGAAGACGTATCCTCCAGTGGCACGGGGGTGAAGGCCATGGCCGTGGGGGCTGGAGAGAAGGCCTGTGGGGGAACAGCAGAGATAAAGTGCTGCCAGGCAGGGGTTTCAAAGCCCAAAGAGGGCTGGCAATCACTTTCTCATCTTTCTGGTGTTAGAGGTGGACATGAAATTGTTTTCCTACCATGTTTTTGATAGCTGGACATCTCCTTTCTCTTCAGTAAAAAGGACCAAGGAGCCAAGAGGTCAGATAAGATAAGCCAATTTCCCCAGTCCCCCTGCTGGAGGTGGCGGGGCCCAGATTCTCTGTCAGAACCCTGGCCACACTAGGCCTCATGTGTGCTTCCTTCTGTCCTGGAACATCCCACAACCTGGGACGGCACTGAGGTGGTCCCATTTCACAGATGCGGGAGCTGAGGTTTTGTGCAGTAAATGTCTCCTGATGAGTCATGTTTCGAGGTGTGGTTTGTATCCCATCCCCTTTCCTCCGCGGCCCAAAGAGCCACCCTCTTCACTCCAGGTCCTCAGGAGCTTGCAGAGCCAGGTGATTCATATTTGGCAGGAGTTTTAGCCAGCTGACCTATTATCATCATCATCATCATCATCATCATCATCATCATCATTATTGCCATTGTTCTCATTATATCTCCCCTGAGCCCCAGGAAAGGCTGCGGTGGGGTGGCAGCAGGTATACAACCTCAGAGCCCCCTGCACCGGCTCTCCCTGACCCTGTAAAGGGGAGTTGGGCCTAAAGAGCCATCCCTGCACCGAGGAACAGGTAGACAGAATGGGAGGCTGCTCTGGGGTGTCTGTGAGTTTAGGAGTATCAAGCCACCTGTATCTCTGGGAGCCAGTCACCTTCCCACCCCGTCTGGCTGCCTCCCTGAACCCCTATCCTGGACTCTTGCTCTTTGCTCGGGAGAAATGGAATTGCCTGAGGACAGGGAGTGTGCAGCCCGCTTCCAGCCACTGACTCATCCACAGTGTGGTCCCTGCTGGGGAGCATCCTGTCCAGGGCTTCTCAACTGCGACTCCAGAATTCCAAGGTCAGCAGAGGTGGGGCCAGGGCTTCTCGAGGGCCCAAGGAGGAGCCACCTCCTCCATCTCGAACCTGAGAAGCCCTGCTCCGCGGAGCTCAGAGATCTGCATTTGATCCCTGGAATGACACATGCTGACATATGCTGATTCTTCTTCCCTTTTGTCTGAGGAGGAAGCTGAGACCCAAGGAGGCAGAAGGACACGTCCAGGATGACACAATATGTGTCAGGACTGCAACACGGACAACTCTCGTAACTCTCATTTCTACACCCGTTACCTTCGCCCTCTGTTAGCTGAACAACCAACGGTGGCTGGGCTAGCTCAGAGTCTCTCTCAGGTTCTAGGCATTTGACAAGGAGTTTAAAAATTCTCTGATTTTGGAGAACCCACAGCTTATGGGAGAGAGAGACATTTTAAATCACAATGCAAAAATTACGCAGGGGGCTGGGCATCCCGAGGGAGCCCCTGGAGCTCCCTGAAAGTCAGCGCAGGAATCCCTGTGCCTCAAGGGGAGTGGAGTCCACCCCTGCACACTTGGCAGTGAGGACCAGCGGCCAGGAGGCATGATCCAGGTTGAGGGGTTGGAGTCCTTGGGCTCTCAGTTATAAGTCTGGCACATGATATGCACCGTAAATACTGATTTAACAAATGAAAGGCCCTTGAAAATCAAACAGGCAAACCTTGATTTGAAGCTTTTGTCACCTCTGGGCTTGGTTTCAGGGCTCCATCAGTGCCCACGTCTTTCTTACCTCAGGATCTCTGGCGTGAGATTCTCTGTGGCCAAAATGTCCTTCCCGTGTCCCTTCATCTGGGCAGGGCCACTCAGGCTGCACCTTAGAGACTTCCTCAACCCCCCTACCCCAGAGCACATACTCCTGGCTGCTGCCCTGAGAGCACCTGGCATGTGCTGGTCACATTCTGCACACTTGGCAATCAGACCTTTGGGAGACTAATGCAGCCCATGGGGATGAGGACGGGGGGGGGGGGTGGCACACAGTGTCTGGCCCACAGCATGGGGGCCTCTCCCCTCCTTTCTGCCTTACCCTCTCCTCACTGGGGACTTCTCTGCGAGGCTGAAGTCAGAGACCCAGGCCGGACAAGGGAATCATGCCTGCGGTCCCTTCCATTGGCCATGGGTGACGTGGTTTGGCAAAGCCCTGCTGGTAGGGACCCAAGAGCTCTGGAGGTTGGCAGTGCTGGCCCATGTTCACCTGGGGCATGAGCTTCCTGCCCTGCTCACTTTTCCTCAGATATACAATGCAACACAACAAAACCCTAGGCCCTTAATCAATAAAACCAGCCCGATGCACACACTCATGCACACCTCTCTCACTCTGTGGAGAGAGCTTTCCTCGTCATTCTGTGACACTAGAAGGCTCAGAGTTTCCTGAGCACCATGGACTGTCTCTGACCAGTCCCCGGGCCCTCAGCATATATATATATTCTTGGCAGAGGAAATGAAAAAAGCCCTGTCCTCCAGGAAGCCTCCCATGCCTGCCCCAGGCTGTGTTAGAGGGGCTCCCTCTCCTCTACATCGTGAACTGCGAAGGCCTTACTTCTGTCTGTGGGCCTGACACACAGCCCCCAGCCCTCACCAGGACTCTGTAAGTGTTTCCTAGTGGAATGGCTGCAGGGGGATTGCTGACTCCAAAGGGGCTGTGGTGTCACTTGGTACTTGGGACCTCCCATCCTGGAAACTCTCCTCTCAGCTCGGATTAAATTTGAGTGAAAAAAAAAAACATGGGACCTGAGACAGTCAGCGGTGTGTTCCTTCTGTGTGGCCTTAGACAAGCCTCCTAACCTTGCTGGGCCTCGATATCCCCATCTGTGATAGGGCTGCAATAATGTTCCCCTCTAGAAGCTGTGGGGAGGGTGATGGGCTCCGTGTGCAGACACACTAGCAGGCCGGGCACATGGCAGGTTCTCCAAAGCATGACTTGTCCCTTGCATTTCTTTGTGTGTGTGTATGTGTGTGGGGGGGTCCTCCTCCACCCCCACAGGGCTCAGCACAGGGTTCTTGGGGTTGGGCCCTTTGAGCTGAGCTGGGATGGGCTGTAACCAGCCAACCCTGCAGGGACCCCGTGGTCACCATGTATCCTGGGGTCTCCAAGTTAAAGCTCCCCAGAAGGAAGCCTCCTTTCCAGAACCTTCTGGGAGCTCCTTAGGGGGAGCTGGGGCAGCCAGGAACCGGCTCTGGGCGGTCAGCGGAGCCCGGCCCTTGCTGTTGCCGCCACCTGCTGGTGGGAAGCCTCCTAGACCTCCGCCCAGAGAAGAAGGCAGTGGGGGCTGGTGCAGGGGGCGCCAGGGATTCCTGGGCTTGATGTGAGACCCTTGAATCCTTGCTGCCTTGGCCTGTGTTGTCGCCACGAGGGATGGGACTGCAGCTTCTTTCTGATGGCAAATTCTCTGTGTGTGTGCGCATGCGGGGAAGCAGAGGGGTGCCCTCAGGGGCGGACAAGTGTAGTTGGAGAGATGCACCTCGACTCTTTCACGCATTCTATGGATAGATGCTTAGTGAACCCCTACCCTGTGCTAGGCTTTGTGCAAGGCTTGGAGGAAGCCAGGGTGCAGGAGATGCAACCAACAGGCCTCGTGAGCATGGTAGTCGTGACTCAGTGTGACCAGTGCTATAAGGATGGCGCCGCACATTCATGCAGCCCCTTCTGTTTGTTCACCGGGTCCCTCAACACACCTCTAATCAGCTCTCCCTTTGTGCCAGGTGCTTTACTAGGTGCTGGGAAGACAGTGTGTGTGTGGGGGGGTGGTACAGTGGGGAAACGAAGCCAACCTGTAGGAGCAAAGGCCACAAAGGGGTGGCCATGTCTGCTGGGACTGGAGAGGGCTTCTCAGGAGGGTGCTGTGGGGGAATAGAATAGTGAAGGGCGAGCAGGAATAGGCAGCGAGGAAGGGCACAAGCGGAGGGACCAGCAGGTGCAAAGTCCATGAGCAGGGCACACGTGCTTGTGTCTGGGGGCACGGGGAGGATCGTGGTGAGCTGGTGCAGGGTGCAGGCCAGAGGTGGGAGGAGCTGGAGGCTGGAATAGGCCACAATGAGGCCGTTGGCAGATAGGTCAGAGAGGGCCCGGAATGTCTGGCTGGGGTCTCAGGCTTTGGGCTGGGGTCTGCGGTGATCATTCGTTGAAGGATTTTAGCAGAACGATTGATCGGGGCAGATTTGTGTTTTAGAAACATCACACTGTGTCAAGTGTAGTCGTCACCACCTACTGTCCAAGTGACTCTGGAAGTTCACTTTCTGAGCCTTGGTTTTCTCTGTCGTGAAGTGGTGTTCCTACTGCTACTACCCCCACCCTCCAAGGTTCTGGAGCAAGCGCTGAATGAGATCATGGCTACAACTTCTAGCTTGTTCTAGCCAGTTCATTCCGTTGCAGACTGTAGCTCGGGCTGTGACCACCAGGCACCAGTCTTGAGCTGGATCTCGGTTACCGTGGCCCATCCTGCGTCCTGCCCACGGCCTGTTGGTTGGTATCATGAGCTCCACTTTATAGATGGGTGAAGGGGCTTGTTCACGGTCAACATGTCGTACGTGATAGAATTTGGACACAATCCCAAATCCGTGGGGTTCATGCTTTTCCCACTACTGTACACGAAGGAGAATTTTCTAATGGAGGAGACTCAGTTGTTCGATAGTGAGTGCACCATCAGTCGAGGTAATCAAGGAGTAGCTGGACAATCATCTGGGCTGGGAGCTGTAGAAGGGGTGCCTGGCCTCAAATCTTATTACATAGCAGGTGTCAAGAAGCATCCGTCAATAGAATGAATGAGGGGCACCTATGTGGCTCAGTGGTTGAGCATCTGTCTTTGGCTCAGGGCGTGATCCCAGGGTCCTGGGATCGAGTCTGACATCAGGGTCCCTGCAGGGAGCCTGCTTCTCCCTCTGCCTGTGTCTCTGCCTCTCTCTGTGTCTCTCATGAATAAATAAATAAAATCTTAAAAAAAAATAGAGTGAATGAAAGAGTCCAGGGATATTTCCCCCATGACACTGATCCCCCTTGAGGGCAGGAGCCAC